AAAAGACCTTCATTAATTAATAACGGGAATTGAAAAACAAATAGGGTGTTTGGTAGAAGAAGAAAAAATTTACCAAGGAAATAAAATTACTGGGAAAATAGTGTAAAAAGTGGAAAAATGATTTTTCTGGAAAAGTTAAAAAAAAGTTGTTTGGTAGACTAAAATATTATCGAGAAAATTTTGGTGTAAAATTGCTACAAGTTTGAATTTGTTGGAAAAATCAAAATACCCAAGTAGGTATTTTCCTTCATTTTTATACTACAAAAATTTTCCCATCAAAATTTTTTCCTAGAAAAATTTTTCCTACTCCGTACCAAACATGGTCATTTGTGAATCCTATATATTACTTTACTAACATTCTCAAAAAAAAAAAAAAAAAAAAATCCTCCTACCAAACATCACAATATATAAGAAAATATGGCAAAGAGCCCTATTAAACTTGGTTGTGCAGATTGGGATTTGCATGAGTCACCGAGGGAATGTGCGGACCCATTAAGAAAGGGATAAAATACGTGTGTCTTGCCCGAGATTATGTTGTGCGTTGTAGTTGTTTTTATAATTCCATTAGTCTTAAAAAAAAAAAATGTATCGTCCCCTCAACTGGAATTTGCTTTTAAACAGTTAAAGAGAATATGTATCGTCCCCTAAAATGTATCCCTTAAAGAATGAGTAGCTACAGGGCCTTATCAAATATCCCGTGGTAGAAAGTGCATTGAAAAAATAGTTATTAAATTATTCAAAACACGTTTTAAGTCTTAAATTTTAAATATCAAATCACGTCAAATTTAATGTTTTTTCTTTTTTTCAGAATAAGTTATAATTAAATCTGTTGCTTCATCTGCATTTTGATTTGGTTGTAATATATTAAATGTTAAATTGTTATTTCTTTAAAGAGTTCGTTTTTTCTACAGTTAATGCAGATAAATTATCTACAATAAGTTCAATACGACGTTGTTTTGGACAGAAATCATGATATTGTTATAATTTTAATTTATTTCAGGATTATTATAGTCTTTATAATTATATTTTTTAATTATTTAATCTCAAAACAACGTCATTTTAAGAGTAAATATAAAAAATTTATCTGCAGTTACTGCAGAAATATTTTTCCTTTCTTTGAATATATCAATCATGTTCAATGGATCATAATTCTGTTATTCCAAAGTTCTGTACGTAATCAATCCGTTGATGGTTTAATTCATACACAATGAAATAAATATATGTAACGACAATGATATTTGATTTCGAACTGCAATAGAAATTAACATAAAATTGTTTATGGGTTTAAATATTTTTATTTTTATTTGGTTATGATAATATGAAAGTAAAATGGATAATTATGGGGAGAGTTTTGATAAGAATGTAGATAAAATAATCATAAGATCATAGATGAGATTGAGAACTTTGAGTTTTCACAAGCATTATCTTGTAAATTTTATGAAATATCATTATTATTATTTTTGCAATTAGATTCGATTGGGGGCGAAGATTTTGTGATGAGCATCCGAGAATTGAAAATAATAATAATAATAATAATAATAATATTTTTTAAATTATAAATTGCTTATCTATAGAAAACTGCCCGTTTACCTGATTTTGACCAAGTCAAGACAGTCCAGCTATATAAAACAAAATATAACTGTGATTGATGTATATACATATACTCTGGATTATAATTTATGAGCGATTAAACCTTTTTCAAATTCTAATCAAATGCTAATTTTTAGAAAAATAAAAAATAAAATTTCTCAATGATATAATTATCATAAAATTCTTAAACTATCAAATAAGATAACGTGCTTATCTAAAGATAGATTAAAATTTAAATCACTGATCCATTAATACGTGATCAAATCTGTTCCTTTCGTATTAATTTCTTATCCCAAGTAGAATTAAGAGTTATCTAATATTTTTGAAGTAATTTTCCTAGAATAATCCTAACTATTGAAACTGATGGGGTGTATTGGATTAAAATTTTAAAGATTTTAATAGATTGTTTTTGGACAAAAGAATCCATTAATATTCAATTAGGATTTCAAAAGATTGAAAAAAATAATGTAGTATTCAATTAGGATTTTAAAAGATTATTTGATAGTATTCAATCAGAATTTTAAATAAAAGAAAAATAATCTTGGTATTCAAAATCTCATGATTTTAGTGGGTTTTATATTGATATGGATTTCGTAAGACTTTTTATTGAGAAATATAAATAGAATATCTCTCTTACAATTTCAAGAATAACAAATCTTTAAGCGATTTTCATCATAAAACAACTCAGAAACAACAACCCAACAAGATAATATCTTTGATGTCACTATAATTTTAGATAATCTTTTAAAATCTATAAGATTTTTTATCTCAAAAATAATCTTTTCAAATCTTAATCCAATACACTTCTAGATATCATTCTAATTGAGAAATCTTTGGCAGAATCCGCGATAGATGAATCAATATAAAATCAAGAAAAGCATTCTAACTAAACAATTCTTGAAAAAGTTTCACATTTAGAAACACAACTCGTAAGCCAGTTTTCTCACCTTCATTATTCTTGTGACAGTAAATTGATAAGCACTCATCCATGGCATCCCCTCTACGGTTCTATACCATCAAAGTTGAAGAGCCAACCCAATATTCCATACCACAAGACCCTTGTTTATTCGAATGTTTCTACGTTAATTTTAACTACACCCACTCTATAAACTCTGAAATACCCACCACAACCGTGTTCAACCAGACTTTCTTGATTCCCCAAAATATTTTATGTGATTGTGATGATTTCGAAATCATAGACCAAGATAGTCTTACTAATAACTATTTGCGTGAAACTTTTTCGTCTGTGCCTATTTCTACTGAGATCATGGACTCAATTCTACTTCGAATGGGTGAATGCGCTAGGGATATGATGGAGCACAACTATGAAGAACGTCAAGCGTTAGAGATGAATGTGATGGTTAACCTTTCCACAAGATCCAGTGAAGTTGATATGGCACCACTTGTGAGTTCGTTAAAGAAAGTTAGAGTTGACGATGATGTTTTCTCTTATTCGAAGGAACGATGTGCATTTTGTTTGGAAGAGTTTTGCAATGGATCGGAGTCAAAGCAAGTTCGAACCAAGTGCTTGCATGTTTTCCATGAAGATGATATTGTCCAATGGTTCCAACATTGTTACAATCAATCCTACACTTGCCCATTGTGTCGTTCCCAAATTTCATGTTGATTTATTTTTTAAATAATATTAAAATGTCATAGTGAATTCTGTCAAAATTATGTCAGACGATGATCGTAACACTGGAAGAGCGTATTGCAGTATTGCATAGTCTCTGTTTCTTTGAATTAGTGTTGCAATCTTTACATAGGGTATGTTTTTCTTTCATGTTTTTTTTTTTTTTTTTCTTCTTGCCATGTAATGTGCATTTTTCAATTTTCACAACAACGGGAACTTGGCTTATAAAGATTTCAGTTCAACTAGATTCAGAGAGGCCTTTGCTTTTCTCCAATTGGCTCTGTTTTTGCTTTAGAATTCAGAATTTTTCTTTAACAGCAGGGAAAAGAGTTTTATCTCTTCCTTAGTCAAAATGGTAATTCACCAGTGTGGGTTTTAATTATTATGTCAAATTTCATCATGTTCACCCCACAGGGAGCACGCTAAACCCATACCAACTCCTTTGTACAGTGGACAACATCGCGTAGGGAGTATATTGTGAAGTACCCGCCACACAAAATTATTGGATTTCAATTGTGTTATAAAGTTTATAATGTTAATTTTAATTTTAGTTAATGTTACTTTAGACAACTTTGTCTAATGTGCATTGAAATGACGTCGTTTTTGGTTGAAAAATTAAAAAATTAAAATAATAAAGACTATTATAACCATAAAATAAATTAAAATTATAAAAATACCATGATTTCCGACCCAAAACGACGTCGTTTCGTTGAACATTAGATATTTAAAAAAACACAAACCCTTAGTTAATACTTTAATTTTGATGTAATGTTAGTATAAAAAGTTTACACTTGCAGCCTTTAATGAAAACCTAGTTTTATTCAGGCAAAATCCAAAGAAGCTTAGGCCCAACAAAATCACGAAGTCTAAGAACAGAGCTACATAAAGACTTGAAGGAGATTTACAATGGAAAACATGAGTAATTATTCATTCTGTTTGAGAAATATATGGTGGCAACGGAAATATAAGAATGAGCTGAATCCGGAGGCAATAAGAATATTCGACTATCCTAACTCAGCTCAAAAGCATATCCCGAAACCTTCACCACCATTCTCATCTTAAAAATCTTAAGTGAAGCACTTGCTCAGTAGCTTTCTATGATGAAAGTGTCTTTTCTCTACGCTGTTGTTTTATTGTATTTACTTCTGTTGAGAAATATAGTCCCACATTGGTTGTATGAGCAACTAATGTGAGGTTTATAAGGCCTTAGGCACTCCCACCATTTGAGCTTGTTTTTGGGGTGGTGTATCCCAAGGTTCTTTACATGATGCAACAGGCTCAGCCTACCTGTGCTAAGAAATTCCACAAGAAAAAATCGGGGACAGCGAGGTTCGAACCCGGTACACCGGGACTCTGATACCATGTAAAGAATCTTGGGATACACCATCCCAAAAGCTAGCTCGAAGGGTGGAAGTGCCCAAGGCCGGTTCGAACGCGGTACACCGGGACTCTGATACCATATAAAGAATCTTGGGATACACCACCCCAAAAGCTAGTTCGAAGGGTGTGGGTACCCAAGGCCTTATAAACCCCCACATTAGTTGCACATACAACTAATGTGGAACTATATATCTCAACAACTTCTTTGGATGATGCCAAAAAGGAGATAACTATATTGTTTTGCAAATTTTATACGGGCAAAAAATAAGTATATTGAAAATCTTTTTTGGAAATGAAAAGTGAGGAGATAACAAAAAAGCACTTGATTTAACAAGAAAGCAGAGGTAGAATAACCAATCAAAATCAACATGACATTATCTACAGAATAATGTGCTCCCTCATTTGACATTTTAACCACTAGGTTGTTGAAGAGCTCAGATTGGTATTATATACAGAATAATATAATATAGTAGTAAAATGTAAAAACATTTTAACCACAAGGATCCATCATTTGTAAGATACAAGGGTACCAAGAAGAGTTCCAGGGTTAACCTATTTCCAAATTGTAAGCACCTCCTGAAACATCTCCAGCATTAGCTCCCTATCTGCATGACGGAAAAACGTATTTATCTCATCTCTAACATCATATATCTTACCAAAATCAAATAAGAACGTGAAGCATCCTTTTTTTAACTTGTTCAACTGGTAAAGCCAAGCCTCATTAAGCCTCTCCAGAACATTCCCTGAATTAAGATCTTCCAGTAGGCTATCCTCACAGGCTTCTTTGAGATCACCAATTTCATATTTATTGGCTGCTCTAAGCAATGCAAGCCTGTGCTTCCAGAAATCTTCTTGTTTTATTGTGCCGTACAAGTAACTCAGGAAGGCCATGCAGGATTCTTGTGACATGTCTTCTATGTGGATTGTCGATGACTCTTTTGCCTCCCCGTTGAGATGAAACAAGCCCTGGAAGATAGGAGAACTTGCAGACAAAACTGCCTTATGTGCTCTCAGTGTGTCATGTGCAGTGATAATGGTGAGATCAGCATGTATAGCATCATCAAGCATGCGAGAGAGGCATCGAAGAGTGCTTTGAGCTGCCACTGATTGCAGTTTTCCATCAGATGGCCATATAGAACAGGCTTCTCTACCCTGAATTTCAAAAGAAAAGATCAAAGGTTAAGAAGCAACAATCTAAAACTAATTCAGAGGTTTCTTGGGGGCAAATAAAGCCATCAGATAAAGAATATGATATGCTTCTAAGAAAGCAACTCATACCAATATTTTATAAACAGATTGGTAGTTAGAGGGGGAAAAACACCATTATATTTCTAGGTAAATTGAGAGCGAGCAATGATAAAACTGCTCCTTTATGACTGAAAAGTCACGGGTTCAAATCTGAAAAATAGTCTCTTTGCAAATATTTAAGGGTAAGGCTATGTATAAAGATTGTCGAGGTTTTTTTTTTTTGGGTGTGTGTGTTGTGTGTGGGGGGTTGGGGGTGGGGTGTTATATTTACAAGTAAATTATATAATTATCTATTTACATGAATATCATATTAATAAAGTAATGATTGTAAAATTTAGGGACTCACATTCAGAGGGCATGTTTTCAGGTCAAGAAATTCGACATCAATAATGAAGCGTCCAAGGAATGCAGTATCCACAGGCCAGACAAAGTCATCGCATGTCCTAAGCACCTTTTCATAAACTACAGCATTACAAGCACATATAAGTAAAGCACAACCTGAGTCAGCATTTCATGATACAATCTTGAAATTGATACAGGCTAATGCAGTTTCAAACTTGTTGGCAGCCAATTTGAGGCGGTGACGCAAAATTAGCCCTATTTCTTGTTGGTAAATATAAGAAGTGATGAGTGTGAGTGTGTACAACAGCAGATGCCAAAAAATCGAAGTCAGAGCACAAGAAGTTCAGGTATAAAGGAAAACCCTGATGATCAAATAAGCAAAAACTGGGAAGTAAACTTCAAGCCTGGGTTACTAACTTCAATTTATGGGGGAGATAGACAAAAAAAACTTCCTTTAAACAACCTGAGAAAAAATTTCAAGAGAGATTTCTGTGAATTGCTTGAGAATTTGCCCTTAGCATACTGATATTTATATACATGGAAAAATAAATACAACTTATATTTACAAGAATAATAAATAATTGGACTATTTTCTATAATCCTAATGATTGGAAAGCTTCATAACTTCCTATTGTTTACAAAGCTATAATAACTACTGTTATCATTTCCATCATGAGCCAAAGGCCAACTTACTCAAGATGGGGTAAAAATAAATAAAAATAAAGAGGATAAGATATTTCATCACTGAAATCAATTCTCTGCTGCAGGATTTTTATCATGATTATTTGTTGCATTTCAGGTCAGGTAAGCCCTTACAAAGAAAAAGGTTTGTGCTTAGTAACTACATACAATATGATTGTAATACAACATGAAAATTCTGCAACTGTGACAGGCAATTAAATGTGCAAGAAATAATTTTTCAAGGCTTCTAGCACAACTCCGAGTAACCAATCCCTTCTCTTCCAATGAGCTGCTAATGATTATGATTTAACCCCAAATGTTATATGAAGTCTACATAGCATTTTAAAGTCACAATATTCTTATTGTTAGTCACGACTATCCAAAATATACAAAGTTTCATAGCACCATGGATGGTTAAATATCTTACAAATATTCTGTTACCTATTATGAATTCTGAACAAGCAGTTCTTTACATGCTTACTCTAGAACAGTCATTATGGTTATATGGAAATTACTAATGCCAGCAAAATGTATTTGGAGTATGAAATGTCTAATGAATAATGATCATATGTTGTGTTTATTAATTTATGTACTTTAAAGGTTTCTACATATTTCCTGATGCGGAAATTTGAATGCTGTAAAGAACAAAACAACAATATGGCTAACAGCTATTTTTTTTGTAGATCTTGTGACCTCCCTACTTTTATAATAACTCTGTCTATTTTTCAAGCCACTGATCTCTCTTGTTGGAACTGTTTCCTAATATGTTGTCCAGATAGCCCACTCTTCATTACCAAATAACTCATACTCTGAATAAAGAATTATAGTAGTTTAATCTTATTCAAAAATAACCACACTACTCTTTTAACCATTTCTCACTCACTGTCTCTCGCTGTCTATGATAGCAAAGTGATAGACCCAGCAGAAGAAGCCCAACACGGGAACACAAGGCCTAAGATAGGGATGGTTATGTTTAGACTTGATTAAACACATAGAATATAGGAGAGGGAGAATAGCTTTGTCATGTGTGGCAGGATGTATTACTTGAGTACTGAGATGATGCAGTAATTTGTTAAGAGTTTCCTGAATTCCTGGGTCACCTGGAATATTCTGTAACTTAATATAAAAATCTCATGACAGTGAAAGAAGATGCAGGCAGAAAGTATTGCCCAAAATTGCTACCTCTTCTCTGTTGAAGGTTCTCCTTTCTCTTTGCTTCTAACTAAGGAGCCTATTCTTATTCTTAACCCCATTTTCTTTTGGAGACCCTTTGGGATGTATTCCTTAATAGTAGCCACATAACATAGTAATTAGTAATGACTAATGAAAATCAAAAACTAAAATCTTAGCCTCCAATTAGAGTCTCCATCAAATGCTCTATCCTATCTTCACACAATTAATATCCCAAAGCTCTGTCACTTTCAATCACAACTCACAGACGGACACACATGGATCGATTCAAAGGAATTGGGATCATATAATTTTACATGATTAATTAAAGTCCCAATCACAAAATATTAACAAAATAAAAACAAAAAAAAAAAAAAACACACCATTCCCCTAAACAAACAAATGAACATACCAACCACACAAAACAGCAAGATTAAGTTTTGACAACACCCAATAAGGCAACTAGTTTTACATAAGAAGAAGAAGAAGAAGGGGTATCGATGCAGACCAGGAGAAATGTAAAATTTGCGAGGAGAGCCAGCACTAGACACTCGGAGAATGAAGCGAGCAACAGGTGGCTGTTCCTTAGAAACCCGCGACGGTTCTGGAAAAAGGTGTATGTAGAGGTACCTGTTTCTCTCTATGGACAAATACCTATATATATATATACCGATACAACGTTTCAAGCTCAAATTACAACGCAGATATAGATGAACGGAGCATAGCATAGAGGCACATGCATACCAGTTCCAGATTCCAAGCCTGAAAGGTTCGGATTTTTTGTAGGAACAGGGTCCGAAGTTGTCGATTTTCCATTGGGCTAATCTGGCAATCGTCTCTACCTTTGAATCCGCCATGTTTATATGTGTTCGGAAATTCCGAAGACCAAACAACACAGATGCACGCACGAACGAACGACCAAAGTTGGAATTTGTCTAAAGTATCTTTGACCGATGTACTATCACTATTAACTGAAATTAAGTCCATGGTTGGTTGGCTTTAATTGCTCGAGAATAGTGTTTATTATGTATTTGCGTACACGATTTCAGTAAATTTTATTATTATTTCTTACGGCGCGGTGATAAGAATATTTTCTTTCGGTGAATTTTTATAAAATAACAAAAAAATACAAGTTATGAGATAAAAATGAAACTTATTAGAGTAAAGTTATTATATTTCTTCCGCATGTTCCCAACTCACCACCTCATCATTTGCGTAGATCATTGTCGTAGTCTTCTTCTTCCTCTTAAGATTCATGGTGGTCGTCGAGATCCTCGGTGAAAACTGCTTCGCTTATGCCCCACGCCATTTTGTTTATTCACCTTATTGTTTAATTTAATAATATTTTATTAGCTTTTTATTGAAAATCTTTTTTCAATAATAGAAAATGTTCTGGAGTGAACATTAATTGTCTAGCCGGATAGCTAGTATTTGTATCTACGGAACTTATGGTAAAGATGACAGGCCATGAGAAGTCCTGCACCTTAGGCCAAAGTCTGATGGGATGAACAAAGGGTGTGTGTGTGAGTCACCTGCGGTGGAGAGGATGTGCTCTGAGCACAAGTATGTAGGTTGTAGCCATGGAGGCCAGGATCAATTATCAGATGAGTTCCTAGATGAGTTATCTGATTCCCTCCCTTGTTAGCTATAGGGGGTTATATATATGAATGCACTAGGAGATTGTGCCCCTAGTGGGTAGTTTGCAGGTGACTTAATGGCATGATGTAATGCTTAGTGGGTGGTTATTGGTAGTGGATGGAAGTTATGGGAGAATGGTGGAATGAGATGCTCCATGTAGTGGGGATAGGAAATGGGAACCACTTAAGTGGTCCATAACATAAGCCCCCCAGCCTGGCATTGCGTTTATTCGAAATGTCGGGGTAAAAGTAAAGCCCCCGTGCCTATCAAATAATGTTTAGTGTTGTGAAAAAGGATATAATGCCGGGGAATCCCAGCTTGTGAATGCTTCTGGGTTCCAAGTTGCTTTATTGTGTCGCTCGTTGGTTGTAGTTGTCTCCGGGTTTGTAATTGCTTCTGAGTTTGAAGATAGAGGTGGTTTCTCGGATTTGTCAGCCTAAACCTGCAATAAATAAAAACAACAATAGTTTATTGCGTACCTCAGTAGGATATGAGAACCCTATATGATGATGTCTTGTGCGCTGATTAGGATAATTCAGAATCAAATGTTGAACAATTTTCCCGCTTCCGATTAGGAAAATGATGGGTGCCCAAAGGTCTTTTAGTAAACCATTTTTATCCCGGAGCACCGGTATTCTTTTAGTAAACCATTTTTATCCCGGAGGGCCGGTCTTCTTTTGGCGAACCATTTTTATCCCGGAGGACCGGTCTTCTTTTAGTAAACCATTTTTATCCCGGAGGGCCGGTCTTCTTTTGGCGAACCATTTTTATCCCGGAGGACCGGTCTTCTTTAATAAATCATTTTTATCCCGAAGGGCCAGTCTTCTTTTGGAGACAAGGGACTTTGTTTTCCCGTTTCTGAGTAGGAATTGGACGGGTGCCCAAGAGGCCTCCCGCTTCCGAGGAGGAATTGCACGGGTGCCCAAGAGGCCAATTAAGGTAAGGGACTTTGTTTTCCCGTTTCCGAGTAGGAATTGAACGGCTGCCCAAGAGGCCAATTAAGGCGGCAAGGGACTTTGTTTTCCCGTTTCCGAGTAGGAATTGAACGGCTGCCCAAGAGGCCAATGAAGGCGGCAAGGGACTTTGTTTTCCCGTTTCCGAGTAGGAATTGAACGGCTGCCCAAGAGGCCAATTAAGGCGGCAAGGGACTTTGTGCTTCTAGCCATATTGTGATTTCTTTGTCCTTGAATTATTAACTCGGTGGATGTCTTGCACCCTGAAAAACATGAAACATGCAAGCTTGCACGGAAATCTGTTAATTGTTAGGGAATTTATTGAAAGATAATAAAAATCAAGACGGGTTTTAGCAGGAACCCATATACACTATTAAGAAGTCATTCTTGCTTGTAATTAAGAAGTATGCTAATAACCAAGATGACATGTAGGTGATTGAGGTCCGGATAGGATGAAAGTTGCATGGTGTAGATACGTCGTTATCTTCCTGTAGATACTCCATTATCCATGTGACATAATAAACCAATCAATAATCATAAGTATTAAATTATCATCTTAATTTTCATATTATGTATGGAAGTTCCCAACTTCACTAAGTATGGCTTTTCATAATTAGAATTAAAATATTTGTTAATCATAAATAATAATCATCAATCAATAAAGCATGGTTAGAATTATCAATGATAATGACTAATTAATTAGAAAGTGGAACTTATCGTTAAAATTCATGTGCATTCTCAGAACTCCTTATGTAGCGATTTGATTGTTGTAGGCGTAGGTGGGGTGACATCTTCACATGCCTACGTTTATTAAATGGGCATCTCCAAACTTTTAGTCTTTACAATCCTCCATAGCCCCCACGTTGGCCAACGGTTTCACCACATCATTTTCCAATAGAAAAAGTCAACTTGCTCATTGAACAATTCTGGACAAGTTCAAAATCCTTCAAGAAGCCTCCCATGTTTCGTGTAATATTCAGCCACCTTGCATTGCGTCTCTGAAATCAGATACTTAACCAAAAAATTCCTAAGAAGAAGATCACTTTGGAAATAAAATTATATTACAGCCACACATGTATTAAATAAAACATGTTGAATAACTATCTTAGGTAATGTGTTTGCACATTTGGCAGAAATAAATCGATTCAGACGCTAGACTGAAGTACTACTGTGCTCTTGTGCAATTATATTAAGCATAACTATATTGATGACAAATTTAGTTCTAATTTTTTATTATTATTATTTTTATACTCTTTTCTGAATACCTATAAGTCAATAGCCACTAATGACAAAAACTTTAAAGTCACAAACTTGTTAAATATTTTAATAAATTAAACATAAAAGGAACAAGTAACTGTAGATCGTATCAGTTTTGTAGAATAAACGACCTTTTGCATATACCTCAAAAAAGAAAAAGAAAAAGGGGGTATCCAGTTTTGTAGTTAACATAAGAAACACAATCAAGAAGTCATGTAGCTTTAATATTATTATTATTATTTTTAAGAAACTCCAATGGCTAAGCTGTGATAAAGCAATTCCGTTCAAGTAACTTTAACACAAAGAAATGACATAAATGTGTTTAGAACTAGGCTTACATGCATGATATGATCATCTCATACATTTTATTTTTATTTTATTTTATTTTATTTTTATTTTATTTTATTTTTGAATCATATGTTATTACTAATACTAGGCATGCCAGATTTGTGCATCTAATTTCAAGCCACGTTAAGTATGAATTAACGTGGTTATAACTGAACTAAAACCGGTTCTAAATTTTCCTGCTAGACACTAAGTGGGTAGCAGTGATAACATGCCGGGTGAAACCGGCAATAGTGTGAAGTACAGTATAAATAAAACCTTTCCACGAAGGGTAATAAACTAAGCAATATATTGGAATTTCCACACCTGGTTATGCACATGCTGCTCACTGACTCTTTTTAACTTGTGGTTATATGATGATGTTGTGTAATGGTTTGATATTCCAAGTTTCCATGCTTCCTGACCACTAGCATCCATCAATAGAAAACCAAAGATAGTAAGATAAACATGAAGTACATTAACCGCTGCGTTCCGTAATGTGAATTAAAAACCAATAAATGAAGATCAAGTCAAAGGAGTGTTTATTGCACTTAGTGGGATAATTGCTAATAACTGCATTTAGTGGAGATATTATAATATAAAGTAACTGCATCGTTTTACAAAAGTAACTGTATCTGCACTTAATATTTTTTTATTTTTTTTAAATTTGTTAAATTGAAAAAATTATTAAAACAGTAGTAGGAAATTATTATGCTGTTGCCTGTTATCACACATTGAAGTCAAATCGAATGAGTAGTCAAAAATTGTTAAATCAGTAGTTGGAAATCAATCAAATCAAAATGTCTCTTATCACACATATACGACTTTTAACCCCAAAAACAAATATAAAATAAAACTATAGTTTGGGATTAAATTGAAGAAGGAAGAAGACTTAGCTTATTGTTCTTGATGGTAGCAATTCTTTTTCTTTTTTTTTTTGAAGTTGTTGACAGGGAGACTGTAAAAAGGTTGGCATGATGCTCGGTCTAGCTTCTGCCGTGGTAAATTGGGTGTTGTCATTTGAGAATGGCCTTCGAGTGGGAGAGAGAAAAGTTGGTGTTCCGAGTTCTTAGTAACTCTTTTTTTTTTTTTTAATCAATCTATCAACAAGGTGAGACTCACTGAATCCATCTCCTCCAATAACCAAGATGCTCATGTTGGACTATTACCAAGAATGAAACAAATATGGGTAAAACAGGGCATAAAAAAAAATGTTTATGTAAAATAATTCTGACAAAAGGCCGTATTTACAAACACTTGACAATTTTTTGTCAATGCATGTATGATACAGTGTTGAAATTAAAAAAATTCAAACCGGACGTAATTCAATTACTTATCATTGATATAAATTTAATTAAGAAGTTCACAGTATAGAAATGATTCTCGTCATAAACAAAACAATTAAAAAATATAAATTAGTTTTTATATTAACAGATATAATTTTTTTTTATAAAATTTCGTAAATTAAAAAAAAAATTACTAAACATCGTTCATTATTAGCTATACTCTTCTTCCCTTATTACTTTTAATATATATTTATATCTTTAAATTGATGATCAAGTGTGTTTGTTGTTGCGTAAAACACGAATTAAATAACCTTTCAGATGATTTTCAAACATTTTAAATGAGATAAGGTTATGTGAATTGTTAAGGAGAATTACGGTACTTCCAAAAAATTTAAAATAATAATAATTGTTAAGGAGAATTTCCATAAAATTTTATATGAATCAATGTACAGTGAAGCCGAAAGAAAGAAAAAGAGAAGCCTTTTATAATATAAGCGAAGAAGAAACTGGAGTTGGATGTAATGTTTAATAAAAAGAATTGATTATAAAAGAAAATTATCGGTGGGAATATAAAGGAAATTATCAGTGGGAATATAAAGAAAATTACGGTACTTCCACTCGCCCTTCTTTAATATACTCATTTTCCAAAAGAAGTAAAAAGAAAGGCGATACTTATCTTATATGCTTTTCAATGAAGAAGCAATTTTCCCTTTGGAAACTATTGAGAAAGGGATTGTCTGCATAGCAAGACCTAAACTTGGATGGCGGCGAGGCGCTGTGCTCGGCTAGAAGTATTAGGCTCGATTTTTGTGTTTTGTTCGTCATTAGCGTGAAATCTTCTCCGATGAGTATTGGTGAAAGGAGGTGGGTGAAATCTTCTCCGATGGGTATTGGTAAATAGAGATGGGATTAGAACTTTACAGTTCCCACGTATGGCGCCAAATGTTCTGGAGTGAACATTAATTGTCTAGCCGGATAGCTAGTATTTGTATCTACGGAACTTATGGTAAAGATGACAGGCCATGAGAAGTCCTGCACCTTAGGCCAAAGTCTGATGGGATGAACAAATGGTGTGTGTGTGAGTCACCTGCGGTGGAGAGGATGTGCTCTAAGCACAAGTATGTAGGTTGTAGCCATGGAGGCCAGGATCAGTTATCAGATGAGTTCCTAGATGAGTTATCTGATTCCCTACCTTGTTAGCTATATGGGGTTATATATATGAATGCACTAGGAGATTGTGCCCCTAGTGGGTAGTTTGCAGATGACTTAATGACATGATGTAATGCTTAGTGGGTGGTTATTGGTAGTGGATGGAAGTTATGGGAGAGTGGTGGGATGAGATGCTCCATGTAGTGGGAATAGGAAATGGGAACCACTTAAGTGGTCCATAACAGAAAACATTATGTATTTAAAATATGGACGATTATTAAACGGGTATGATAAGTATCTGAAAATAGATCTTATTATATCTATTTTTATCACAGTTTATACTCAAATGTCCAAGGTTGTTATTGATTTTATTGTGTTTTGCAGCAACCCAAACTCAAGCCCAAAAGAAAAAGAATTCAGCAGAAAACAAGTTGGGCCCCAACAGTAGTGCAGCCCAAGTCAAAAACGCTTTGAGGAGAGAAATATGAGAAGTTGTGGTCCAAAAATGCCTAAGTCAGATTACTCCTCATTTTCTTGACCACGAGAACCTTAGCCACTCAAAGTCCCCATTTTTTCACCCACGTGAGCCCTAACCCTCGTCGCTCAAGCCAATCCTCTTGAGTCAACCATAACCCCACACCAAACAGTGAACCCATTCTGCAATCGATCTGATTTTTGTTAACCATTGAACCACATAAACCTTTCTTTGTAGTGATTCACATGACCATTGTTCTAGAAGCCCAACTTTAACTGATTAGTGACATAGAGGTTGTTACAAGCGTGGAGAAGGATCCTTTTTGGTGGAGCACTTGAGGAGAGCGTGAAGCAGGGATCGTTGGTGTGACGTGCGAGGAGCGCGTGTGGAGGCTAATGCTGAAAGGGCCCAAAGCCCATGCATGTGCTCGAGTATAAAGGCTGGGGAATTTTGTAGAAGGTTCTTCTTCTTCTTCTGTAATTTTTCTCTCGCACCCTTTCTCTGCATATTCTTTTCTTTATTTTATTTTTGCAATTTTGATATTGTAATTTTCTGGTTGTGTTATTCTGGATGTTGAGCACAGTGGCAAAGCTATCTCTGTGAATAGCATTTGTACTGTATCGTTTATATTTTTGTAATTTTTACCTCTTTTGTAGTTTTCGTCATTTCTATAATTAGCTCAATCCTTATGGATTTAAGCTAAACTCTTTAAGGGTTGGGTGTTTGAGACCCCAAGTACAGTGAATGATGCAATTTACCTTTCTTATATGAATATTTACTTTCCGTAGTTCAACTCCGCTTATTATTTGAATGATGTGTCTATTTCGGTCGAATAGATTATGTGTGTGTTGGGAGAAGGGTATTGGGAAATATCCTTTTTCTGGAAACTGAGTTGAATTCATAGACTCAAATAAGGTTTTATTTGAGGGAGAATTTCTGATCATATTTTACTCCTCCATGTGATTATGAGGACCTGAGCTTCAAGCTCTTAATCTCATTAACTCAGGGATAAGTTGTTTAGGAAAAAAGGAAAAAATAATTTAAGGGATTAAATTTCTATATTAAGTCTGCCAAAGGAGAAATACTTGTTAAAGAATTTTTCTTAAGTAATTTGCATCAAGAGCTATAGGGAAGGAATCAAAACTCAACCCAATTTTTCCAAATAGAACTCTTAAACTTTTTGTTTTAATTCTGATTTTTCTTAATCATTCAAACTCTTTACAATTTTGTGAAAGTATCATCAAACAGAAAAAGCCAAAAATTATTTTATCAACTGGTTGTATTCCTTTTTGTTTCGTGTAGTGAACAAGTCTTGACATTAAAATCTGAACCTTCCAGTGATCATTAACTTCTTATTTTTCTTATTTTTCATTTTAACCAATTTAATTTTAATTTCTTTTTTAGAATTTAGTTGAGCAATTGCAATTTTTCTTTTGTACTTTTTCGCCAAAACGATCCTTGTGAGAACGATATTGGGGTTTTAAATACACCCTATATTACTTGTGGCTGTGTATACTTGCGCTTCTCTTGCATACTCTTTAGCAAGGCCAACAAGTTTTTGGCGCCGTTGCCGGAGATCGAAGGCGTACATTCTCAAATTTTTATTTTGTAATTGTTGTTTCTGAGTTTATTTATTTTTTTGTTTTTTTTTTCTGGAATAGTGATAGCTTGAATTTTAGTTCTGTTAAGATTCTGATTTTAATGCAATGTTTTATATAGTTTTTTTGTCATTTAATTTGTTAGTTTATTATTTCATAGCTGTTACTTTGTTTCTTAATTTTTTCGTGTCAATCTTTTATTTTTATTATTAGTTTCATTCCTTTAGTTTGTATATTTTTTACTGTTTTATAATTATGTTTGGAGATACTGTTGCTGTTTTAATTTTTGAATTCTCTGTTCTGTTTGTTATTATTTTTTTTTCCAAAGGGTACATGAGTGCATCTCCACACCCTTTCTTAGAAGCTTTTGACCCTGAACCTGAGAGGACTTTTAGGCTTAGAAGAAGAGCCCAGAGAGCAAATAGGCAGATTCCAAATCCAAATTTTGGAGAAATGGAAAATTTAGGAAATGGAAATGAGAATGAGGAAGGATCTGAGATGATAGAGAACCAGCCAATAGATGACAATGATAGGTCCATGATGGACTTTATCACACCTGTGTTGGATGAGTTGGACCCAAGTATTGCCCAACCTGTTAATGGAGTGTCTTTCAAATTAGAACCCGTGATGTTCACAATGCTGCAAAATATGGGGCAGTTCCATGGTCTACTAATGGAAGATCCACATAAGCACCTTAGGAACTTCATTGAAGTTGTTAATACATTTAGAAATCTCAATATCTCATATGATGTGCTGAGATTAAAGCTTTTCCCTCATTCACTGGCTGACAAAGCCAAAGAGTCATTGAACTCCCTCCCATCCAACTCCATAACCAATTGGCATACATTAGCTGAAAAATTCATTATGAAGTTTTCCCCATCCAATAAGATAGTGCAAACCAGATGTGACATCACCAACTTTAAGCAGAAAGATGGTGAGACCCTAGTGGATATATGAGAGAGATTTAAAATCCTTCTAAAGCAATGCCCCAACCATGGCTTGCCCTCTTGGGCAGTGTTACAAACCTTGTACAACAGCCTTAACACTCAAAATAGAGCCTTAGCAAATTCTGCTGCTAATGGCATGTTTATGTCCAGGTCTTTTAATCAAGCGTATGAGTTGTTGGAACAAATGACTTAGAATTATGCCCAAAGGCCTGATGATAGAAATCAGTCAAGGAGAGTGGCTGGTTTGCATGAGGTAGATTCTGTAACAGCCCTGTCAGCCAAGTTTGATGCACTATCCATCGTAGTTAGAAACCAAGGACAAGCAATTGAGGCAAGATTGTCTCAACCTCAAGTTCAAATGTCCCAACCTCAAGTCAATGCTGTGAACTCAAGTTAGACTTGTGTTTTCTGCAGTGGGCCCCATTTGTTTGATAGCTGCCCATCCAACCCATAGTCTATTTACTATGTGGGAAACCTCATTAGGAACCAAAATAATTTTTTCAATAATTCTTAGAGGCAGAATCAACAGCCCCAATATTTTCAAGGGCAACGGCAGCAAGCTGGACCCTCCAATGCCCAAACCAGGCCACCTTTTCCTCCTCAAAATTATCAACCTCCAAGACAGCAACCTGTTGCTCAGCCCTCAGCCTCATATCCTCAAAACCAAGCTGGTGAGATGACTTCCTCTTCAACCTCTTCCTTAGAGGCTTTGTTGAGGGAATATTTGGTTAAGAGTGAAACTAAGCAAAATAACTTGGAAGCTGTAGTGCAAAGTATTCCTACTTCTTTAAGGAATTTAGAATCCCAACTAGTCATTTAGCCAATGCTTTGAATAGCAGACCCCCTGGTACTTTGTCTAGTAACACTGAAGAGAGCCTAGGAGAAATAATGAGCAATGTCACATGATAGAGCTTAGGAATGGAAGATCTGTGAATCAGTCAAAAGCTGTGGTTAGACCTTCCACATTAAAAAAAAGAGAATAAGAAAAACTGCAGCAAGAAAAAGGTTCAACTCTAGAGAAAAATTTAGAACCTGTTCAGCCAACTATAGTCCATGACAGCCACCAAGAGGCCGAGACTAGTGATCCTTTGCCTGTTCTGGTTTAACCAGAAATTCAGACCCAAATAAACCTTACTTCAGGTACTATTCCAAAGGAAAAGTTACCTCCAAAGAGCCAAACACCTAAGCCAAGTGTTGAGACCCCTGCTGTGAACAACAGACCTCTACCACCTTTTCCCCAAAGGCTTCAAAAGCATAAGCAAGATCACCAATTTAGGAAATTTCTTCATCTCCTAAAATAACTTCACATCAATATTTTATTTGTGGATGCTTTAGAGCAGATGCCCACTTATGTGAAGTTTATGAAAGAAATCCTTTCAAGAAAAAGGAGGTTAGGGGAGTTTGAGACTATTGCTCTTACACAAGAGAGCAGTCAATATTTACTTAGCAAGATACCTCCTAAATTAGGGGATCTAGGCAGTTTTACAATCCCATGCAGCATAGGAGATTATTACATAGGCAAAGCATTGTGTGACTTAGGTGCTAGTATAAATTTGATGCATATGAGTGTGTTTAAAAAGCTAAAGGTAGGAGAACCCAGCCCCACAACTATTACTTTACAACTAGCAAATAGGTCCTTAGTCTATCCTGAAGGGATGGTGGAAAATGTTTTGGTCAAGGTGGATAAATTTATCCTACCATCTGACTTCATCATTTTGGACTATGAGGAAGATAGGGAGGTACCTATAATTTTAAGGAGGGCCTTCTTAGCCACTGGTGGGCCTGTAATTGATGTTAAAGAAGGAGAGTTGTCCATGAATGTGAATGGGGAACAAGTAAAATTTAACATTTTAAAAGCTTTGAAGTACCCAAGAGAGTTTGAGGAATGTTCAATGATAGATGTAATTGACCATGCTGTCCAGCAAAGTATTAGCGAGGCAGAATTAGTGGACCCATTAGAAACCAAGATGTGTGAGAGTTTGGAAGTCAATAGGACTGATGCAACAGAGTGGTCCAAATGGTTGAACACTAGGACCATTCCCAATTGGAAAAATAAGAACTTTGAGTCCCTAGAACTTACCAAGAGAGGTTTTAAAATTCTCAAACCTTCAATTGAAGAGCCTCCTATCTTAGAGCTCAAGCCTCTGCCTAATCATCTTAGGTATGCTTATTTAGGAGAAAAAGACACTTTGCCAGTCATAGTGTCTAATTTGGTCACTGTTTTAGAGGAAGAACAGTTGGTGGCTGTTCTAAAAAAATTTAAGAGGACTATAGGTTGGTCTTTGGCAGATATTAAAGGTATTAGCCCCTCTTATTGCATGCATAAAATTCTTCTTACAGACCCAAACAGCAGCTCTAGGGAACAACAGAGGAGACTTAACCCAATTATGAAGGAGGTAGTAAAGAAGGAAATTATTAAGTGGTTGGATGCTGGGTTAATATACCATGTTTCTGACAGCAACTGGGTGAGCCCAGTGCAATGTGTTCCTAAAAAGGATGGGATCACTGTTGCGGAGAATGACAAGAAGGAATTTATTAATTAATCGGTAATAATTAAGCATATATTTTTAATTTCATATAATATAAAATAATAAATAATGTACATGTATAATTAAGTAATATAAAAATATATTTAAGTTACTCTTATTTGTTTTTTCAGTCTGACTTTAAAATGTTGATTATGCTACAAGCCTTGTGCAATGACTCTTCATGTTTGAAAATTGTGTTCGGTGAAATGTTACTAAACTCGACTCACTTATTGATCAGTTGAGTTATTGAGTTATTAATTTAATTAGTAGGTAATTTCTTTAAATGTATAATCCAATAAATATATGTAAATTTATAACTTATATTAAAAAGATTATAAATATATTCAAATACCAGTAAAAAATGATACCAATTCTAAATATTCTAATATGAAAATAATAAATTACATATCATTATCTAATAATAAATCAAACAAAAAAATAATAATTATGATATTGGTGCTTCAGGTTTATTAGACAACATCTCTAGCTATAAATCAAATCAAAACTTCTTGCATATTTCATAATCAAGATAATATTAGTGTTATAGGTACATAACTTACGTAAATCAATAAGCAACAGAACACTTAAATATTTTAAAAGAAAACAAATCATTTATACATAAGAGTGAAAAAAGAAAGGCATCAATTGATGAGACAAAATCATTTATTTATTTTTTATGAAACTAGTCAGAACATTAATTTTCATTAAAACCGACCGGATTTGGCCGATTCGCGCCTATATCAATGTTTGGCTAATCCATTGCTTCATCTGAAACAATTATATGGCCGATTTATAATTTTCTGGATCAACCGGTATGGGCGGTGCGAATTTCTTAACACTTGTTTGCTGCTCTAATGGGACCATATGGCCATACTCACCCTTCTTAGATCACACGGCCCAATCATAGAGCGTCTTTTTATTTCATTTTTTTTCTTCTCTTTTAACTTTTACAAATTTAAATTAATATCATTGTTGTTTTTAAGTCCTTTTTATTAACTTTTATAAAAAAAATAACTTCATTTAAGTAATTAATTTGTTCAAAATAATTACGTGCTGTTGTTCTATGTTGGATTATAATATTAATTATACATTCTTTAAATATAATAGTTAGTGACTGTATTTACATATAAAATGTGAAGTACTTTTTTTTTTTTTTTTTTGTAAATAATGTGAAGTACTTTTTATATGCCTTTACACTAGTTGCACGAAACATTAATAACATGAAAAATAATGTTCTCGACGACTTTATTTTATTTGAAATAGTACCCCCGTATTAAGACTAAGACAATGTGAACTTGAACGTAACACTTTATGATAATATCATAAAGTTGCTCGAAGTCAAATCAATTCATAAGTTATGGTACATCAGAGTATCAGACACACGACACAACTCTTACTATTTATTTATTTTAACTATCAACATTATCGGTGTTCAAATGGGCCTCCTTGAGAGTTTAGCACTAGGCCCAAAGCCCAGAAGGGCAAAAGAAAACAAAAGGACCAAAGGACCACAGTATGACACTAGCAATTAACGAAACCCTTGAAGGGCATTATGGTAAAGTTACAGAACCCTTCTCACACTAACCTGTCTCCGTCTGTGACTGTGACAAAATCAAATAATAAATTTTGGCCACATTTGAGTTCCATAATTTAATTTGATCTGATCTCTGCAAAAAAAAACAAAAGAACCAATCGATCAATCTTCAAATTCATTGATCTTCGAAAGAGAAGAAAGAAGAGATTAGCAAAGGAAACATGGCAGGCTTCAGCGGCGACGAAACTGCTCCATTCTTCGGCTTCCTCGGTGCCGCTGCGGCTCTCGTCTTCTCCTGTTAGTCTCTCTCTCTTTCCTTTTTTTTTTAATTTTTTTTGTCTTATGAAAAATCAAAATTAGATTCAATGTAAATCGCCGATCTTGTTAACTAGAAAGGGTGAGATTTCATTTATGTGGAATTGATTTATAAACTTTAACAGTAATATCATTTTTTAAGGCCCTTTTTGTTTTGTGGGATGATGATGATGATGATGGTGATGGTTGGTGATAGGTATGGGAGCTGCTTATGGAACCGCAAAGAGTGGAGTGGGTGTGGCTTCTATGGGAGTTATGAGGCCTGAACTTGTGATGAAATCCATTGTGCCAGTGGTTATGGCTGGAGTGCTTGGAATTTATGGGTTGATTATAGCTGTTATTATTAGTACTGGAATTAACCCCAAGGCTAAATCTTACTATCTCTTTGATGGCTATGCACACTTGTCCTCTGGCCTTGCTTGTGGCCTTGCTGGTCTCGCTGCTGGGATGGCTATTGGAATTGTTGGTGATGCTGGAGTCAGGTCTCTCTTTTTTCCCCTTTTATCATTAACTTCGGAAAGTATAATGTAACAACCAATTAGGGTTAATGTTAATGTTAGGGTTATGATTGATTGATTATTTCATCGTTAATGTTACTACCCATCAATTTCATCGTTAGATTGATTATGTTGATCTAACAGTTATATTTATTTCCATCTTTGGTCCAACAGTTATATTTATTTTCATCTTTGTATGGTTGATTTCTTATTTTCTCATATTTAATGTGATTATTTCCATCTTTCCATCTTTGATCCAACCGTTATATTTATTTTCATCTTTGTATGTTTATGATTTCTTATTTTCTCATATTTAATGTGATGAGAACATTAAATATAAGAAATCATAACCATACAAAGATGGAAATAAATATAACCGTTAGATCAAATAATCGATCTAACGGTGAAAATGATTGGTAGTAACCTTAAGTGGTTGTTACAATATCTTACTCCATCTTTTACTTGTTTACTCTCTTTTTCTTTTCTTTCATCATTCCCTTTTTGTACTTTTTTTTTTCATATTGCCTTGTGGTTGAAACTTGAATTTTGTCTTGGTTTATTATGTGAATAGAGCCAGTGAAATTATTTCTTGAGACGCTGTTAATTTTGTCATACCGGTTTTTAATTTTAGGAAGTGGTAATATTACTCCTTTGTGATCATATGGTCATGCATGATTCGAGTATAGAGAGCAGCTTGTTTGCAAAATAATGCAAAATCAGATTACCTACAATTGAACCTCACTGCTTTTGCAAACGGCTTTGCCCTTACTAATTTTTACAATTTAAGAAATCTGCTCTGCCCTTTTCTAGTCAACAGTTTTTTTCAGGTGGAAAGGGTAAAATAAGAAGGCAGCCTGGAGTAGTGGTAAAGTTGCTCCTTTGTGATTAAAAGGTCACATGTTCGAATCCGGGAAACAATTTCTTTGCAAATATATAAGAGTAGGCTTACTTACAAGTATTGGCCTCACTCCTATCCTCGCTAATTGGGGTTTAGTAGGGAGTAGTTTTTTACTCTTTTTTTTAGGTGGGATGGGTAAAATACTATCATTCAAATGAGGAGGAGATGACTAGATTGACTTTTATTACATCACCTGTGTTATGTGAATGCAGACCTGCTTTTCCCCTTTCCAACGATTGGCATTGGAAAGGCAAATGCATAACTTTAGATTTTAACTTGTGGAGATACTTATCTATTTGAGAATTTCATTTTGGAACTTAAGCTTTACTTCGTGTTGTTTTTGTTTAAAAGAAATATCGACTGCAAACACTTTTGGCTGCCCTTTATACAAATGTTGATGATGGAAGGTTGGCTGCCCTTGGGGCTCGTCCATTTGATGCTTACTTTATTCCCTATTGGCTGTTTCGCTATGTTATTTTAAATTTTTTTGTCTTTTCATCTTCATGTTGTGTACATGTGTGTGGGTACACGCCTTTTTCAACTAAAATTATCATTTCAACCATGAATCTATGCAATATATTTGTTATGGTTAACTGAATGCTTGGACACTGAGTAAGGTGATTCCTTTTTATCAGGGCTAATGCTCAGCAGCCGAAGCTGTTTGTTGGTATGATTCTTATTTTGATTTTTGCTGAAGCTCTTGCTCTCTATGGCCTCATTGTGGGTATCATCCTCTCATCCCGAGCAGGCCAATCTCGTGCTGATTAAAATGAAGCCTAATCAGTGATATCTGGTAGTCCATTATAATTTTAGTATCTGGCTTGTATTTGAAATGAGAAATATTTGACTTTAGTAGATTACTATTATTTCATTTATTTTATTACGCAAACCCTGTATCTGAAATCCGCCAGTTTATGGATTTTTCATTTGGATGGCTGCATAATGATGTGATACTTGTTTGTTCGTTGCACAGACACACTGCACTTTTATTGATACAGCTATAAAAGTTAAAACCATTGGTAAATCTCCTATCCTTGTTGCCAATATGAACTTACAAATTATTGAAACAAACACATGAGGAAAAAGTAATGCTTGTTTAACTTATTTGATTAAAAAAAAGTTTAGGGGTAGGGAAGTTATTGCATTCCTTGGCCAAGGAATCTCACCTGCCTCAGGAAGGCTTAGGTATTGAGCCTGGGTATGGGGCTTGGGTGCGTAAATATAATGTAGTGCGTGAAATGGAGCATGCAGACATCATTCGAACGTAAGAAAGGACTGAGGGGAAGAGAAAAAGGAAAATATAACAAGAGATTATAAAAGGGTTAATTATAACATGAGGACATCATTCGAACGTAAGAAAGGACTGGGGAAGAGAAAAAGGAAAATATAACAAGAGGTTATAAAAGGGTTAATTATAACATGAGAAGAATTTCTTCTCCTACACACAATAAACATACAGACAATAAACATGTGGATCTTATTGAAAAGAGGAAAGAAAAAAAATTAAATGGGACACACATGTTTGTTGTTGTGTATGTGGGAGAAGAAATTCTGTTTTTTGGAGTTACCCAACTCTAATTATCTCTTTGAGACGAGTTGGCTTCCTCCGGTATCCCCACGAGCTTCGACTCTTTGAGCCGGCTATGAGACTAATCCGGAGTGCGGGGGAACAGTGATGACTAAAGGTTCAGCCCCCTCCCCAAGAATGCATTCAGCGGGAATCGAACACATATCCAACCCCACTAACTCAGTGTCAAGTTACCAACTGAGCTGCACCCATTGAGTGGGAGAAGAAATTCTTGTTATGTAACATGAGAAGTTTTTTTTTTTTAAGTCTTTAACCTATTATAAAAAGGCATAATCCTTAAAACTCCAGCGGAGTAAAAGGGAGCCTACGAGAGGAGAGGAGACAACCGAAAATTTCAATCAGTTACTTAGGAGTAGTCATCATCATCAATAAATCATGCTTTTAGAGACTATCTTCCTTTATTGATTGCTAATTAAAGAATATTATAAATTATTAAAGATTTGATTTGATGTTGCTCAAAATAACATTATGTAGTTCATTCTAAAATTGTCACCTGTTGTTCCTTATTTTTATTATTGCAAATTAATTTCACTTTATTTTAGATTTTTTTTGGAAAATCACTAATTTAGGGAAAGAAAATTTTAGCACGCATCTAGCAAAAAAATTGTTAACTATTCATACTATCTTTTTTCAATTTATTATATCTAAAATTCCAAATTGAATCCTTTTTATTTATGTTGAGATTAGTATAATTTTTTAATATTTTAAATTTTTTCTGTAGCTAGAATCAGACTCAATAAATGCATGTTACCAAAAAGGAAAGTATATGTTCAAAATTATCTCAACAAATTTGGGAATCAACAATTGTTAAAAATTTCAAGCAATTCAGTTTCCTTGTTTAAATGGGGTTGCGGCGTGTACATTAATTAATTTTTTTTTTTGAATTTTCTCAAAGTATCTTTTAGTCGACAACCGAAGAGTAATTCTTTCAAGGCGTAGAGATCATCAAAGTAGGTTTTGCCTCTACCAACAAATTTTTTTTTATACACGCAACCCGGGATCGAATCCCTATTAGCATGCTTAAAGAAACTAGTCATTCATTAATTGTGCTGGACTTTGTTAATTACATTAATTAATTTCGTGTAGTTTGTATCCCCATTGTATAAGTTGAAAAATTGTTTCGATGCTTATATAATGTGTTGCAAGCCATATTGCACCGAAATTTGAAGTGTCGTGTTCGATACTCTTTGACACGTTTCGACATATATAATATTTAAAATTTCATTACATATCATGAAAAAATTGATCAATATTTTATCAAATTGATATAATAAAAATTAAAAATAAATAATGAATAAATCTCAGTGGAGTGTATAAGAGATTTTTAGTTTAAACATATAATAGTAAATATTTACATCTTATGTTTCTTTGCAAAATTGATGGGTATTATAAGTTTAATTTTTTTATTAAATTATTAAACATTAAATATAATATGGGTAATAGTTTTCTCATGTAGTAGGAGATAATAATTATCTCCTACTGACTCATTTGTATAAGTGGAGTCCACTTTCAAGGGAAGAAAGAGAAAAAGTAGAGTGGGATCCATCTTGAATTTGTGTGTGTAGGAGATAAATTGTTTCTTATGTAACATAAGAATAATAAATTCCATATAATATATACTACATAAATTAAAAATATTATTTAATATCAAAACGTGTCCTAACGAGTTGCAATCTAATATATTTTAAAATTAACATATCAGAATATCGTGTCGTATATCATGTCGGTGCCGATGCAACACAGATTGAAAAATAAAGAGTATTGGTGATATTATTATGATTTAAATTTGTATCATAACACTTTTGACATGCATTTTTGTATTGTTCATACCGTTTTGAATGATTCTTTTCCTTCTTAAAACGGTGTGAGTCATGCAAAAACGCATATCATACATGTCAAAAAGTGTTATTGTATGTTAAATATACTTATAATAATTTATAATGGGAAATATTACTCTCCTTTCACATAAGGTAACTTATCTCATTTTCTCTCACTTCGATTTTCGCACCCTACTTTTTTCCTTTTTTTTCTTTTTTCTTACAATGGTGGGATCCACTCATTTTCTCTCTACCATATAAGATAACTATCTTATGTGAAAGGAGATTAATAAAACCCATTTATAATTTATTAATAAGCTTTTTTAAAAAAATTTAAATAATTAATTATATATTTAGTATTAAAAAAAATGTTATGAATTTATAAAAAAATTCTTTTTGCGAGAATTAGCTCCATCATAATAATGATGTGGATGTTCTTGCTTCAAACATGATTGCCTTCGTTAGTGATCTGGATAAATATATAAACCCATGAGGTTTAAAGCCCAGAAAGGATCCAAGAAGGCACAATGTTCCCATTGCACGAGATACATGTACCAAGCATTGCATGGACTACAAAATTAAGCCGCCTTATATTAACTTAAAGCTAAGAAAAGGCTTTGCAACAAGCTGAGTTCCACCGCGCATAAGGACCAACACAAGGAAGACAGTTCCAACTTGTCACTACTCTAGGAAAACAGGCTACTATATAGACTTGTTCACCAAGAAAATAGCCAGAAAGACAGCAGCCTATAACAACCAATAAGAAGGTATGCCGCCTACCAAAGGCGGCACAAAGTTTGCTATAAATACAAAGGGTACAAACTTAGGTATGATCATCTTATTCCCAGTCTCTTCCATTGTGCTGGAATCATTCAATGGGCCTCACATATACATGAATAATCTACAGCCCATAAATTACGACATATAGCCCAAAGTCTTAAACCTCTAACCGTATATAATTTAGCCCAACCTATCTTGAATTGGTGTGATCAGTAGGGTGTGCATGATAACCATTCTGTTCCTTGGCACTGTTTTTGAAAAGAAACAATTCTTTTCTATTTCTGTGCCTTGGAACAGTTTCTCAGAAAAAAAATAATTTCTATTAAGCGTAATTTTTTTTCAGATCATCACTTTCCTTTCCAAATGGAGGCGGCGGTGGTGGCGTAGTGGTGGTAATGGTGGCGGCAGTGGCGGTACTGACGGCAGTGGCTGCGACGATAGTGGTGGTAATGATGGCGGCAGTGGTGGTGGTTGTTGACGATGGCAGTGGTGATGGCATGGTGGTGATGATAATGGTGGCGATGGTGGTGGTGGGAGTAGTGGTAGTGATGGCAGTGATGAAGGTGGTAGTGGTAGCGATGGTAGTGGTAACAGTAGTGATGGCAGTGGCTGCGACGATGGTGGTGTGGTGGCGTGGAGCAGTGGCGATGATTTGGGGATAACATGGTGGTGGTGGTGATGGCAGTGGCTACAATGATGGTAGTGGAAGTGGCAGCGTAATGGTGGTGGTGGTGGCGATGGCGTGGTGGTGACAGCAGTGGCTGCGATGATGGTGGTGGTGGTTGGTGACGATGGTATAGTGGTGGTGGTAATGGCGATGGATGGAGGTGGTGGCGATGACATCGTCGTGATGGTGGTGATGGTGGCAATGGCATCGTCGTGGTGGTAATAGTGGTGATGACATTGGCATAGTGATGGTGATAGTGGTGATGGATGGAGGTGGTGGCAATGACATCGTCGTGGTGGTGGTGATGGTGGCGGTGGCATCGTCGTGGTGGTGATGGTGGCGGTGGCATCATCGTGGTGGTGGTGGTGGTTGTGACGACGACATTGGTGGTACAACGGCGGTAGCGATGATGGTGGCGGTGGTCGTGTCGGGATAATGTTGGTGGTGATGATGATGATGATGATAATGGTGGAGAGTAATTGAGAGAAATAAGTGTTTTCATTTTGTGCTCGAGAACAAAAAATTCGAAATTTTTTTTATTTTGTTTTCTGTTCTCCAGCACAAAAATTGAACTGATTCATCCCGAGAATAAAAAAATAAACCATTTTTACCAAACGAGTTTTCTATCCATTTCTATACCTGAGAACAGAAATTAAAAAAAAATTGATTCCGAAAAGATTGTCATGCACACCCTTAAAATTCTTCGGTAGAAGATACATGTTGTTTATTAAAAAAAAAAGTAACAAGTATAAAAGAAAGAAAAGAACGCATTAGGAAGTCTCTTTGGGGAAAACTAACTTCTCAATGGTTTTTTTTTTAAAAAAACAAAATAATAAAAAATAATTCAGTTTGGAAAAAATTAACTTTCTAATACAAATGAAAGTGGAACATTAGGACCGCAGGTTTTTATTTATAGGTTTTATTAATCTCATGTTAAATGAGATAGTTATTTCATGTCATAGAGATAAATTTATAGGCTCTATCATCACTTGAAAAAAAAAAAAAAAAGATGGCACAGTTGTCGAAGAGTGAGATAGTTATTTCATGTTATAGAGATAAATTTATAGGCTCCATCACCTAAAAAAAGAAAAAAAAGAAAAAAAATGACACAGTTATAAAAAATGTGGAGGAAAAAAATTTATATGATATAATATGAGAATAATTTTTCTCTTTATTTATTTATTTCCATTTTGTTAGAAAGATGCGTTAGTTTTTTTAGCGTACCAATAAGAGAGAGAGGAAGAGGAAGAAACACAAGGGAGTGAGAGACACGAGGGCTTAGAGTCAGGGAAATGGCAACGACGAGGAAATCAGAAGAAGCAGAGGGTACGAACATCATCGTATGGAACGAAGGGAAGCACAAGTTCGAGACAGAGGACAAGGAGGCGTACGTGCAATATGTCCTGAGAGATAATGGTAAGGTGATGGACTTGGTTCACACTTTTGTCCCTTCTTCCAAGAGAGGTCTCGGTTTAGCTTCCCATCTCTGTGTCGCTGCTTTTCAACACGCCAAATCCCATTCCTTGCTCATCATCCCCACCTGTTCTTATATCTCTGTGAGTGAGTTCAATTGAATTTTATTTTTTCTACCAAAGGGAAATTAAGGGGTGGAACCACAATTTAGTATAACATGTCATCCAATATTTTTTGTGAAAGTGGAAAACAGGTAGAACAAGATGCCGTATTCAATCTTTTGTTTTCATCACAAATTCATCATGTCTTGGGTTTTGCTTATATTGTTTATAAATTCTGCACTCGTGATTACACAAGTAATTTGGAAGAATTCCAGATAGTGTTATCTGCAACGTTTATCCTTGTTCTGATATAGCTTGAATCTCAACAAGGCCTGAGCTAGTGGTATGCAAGTGTTCATGCTCTTCCCTGTAGTATTCAGGTTCCCCTGGATAGAAAATTCTTGTCCGCATGGAAAAAAATATAGTTCAACGCAATGCACTTGATCAATATTGCAATCATCAAAAACTATATTCTCCAATTACCCTTGTTGGTTTTCTAGATCCTAAAGCTCAACCAACTCGAATGACATGCTTAAGGAATCTTAACAGCAAATTATTTTTGTCTCTGTCTGGACAAGTCGCCATAAATGGTTTGAGGTTTTTAAGATTTGTCACAATAGAAGCAATCTCAATTATGAGCTTCATTAGACCAAAACCACACAGCTTTTCAAGTTTTGCTCCGGCAGATAGAATTACTGTACTACTAAATTTGTTGGCTGTGAAGCCACTAGGATTGGTCCAGTGGCGAGGGGTTTGGGTGGCGAGAGGTTTGGGTAGTCTGTATTAGATTATGTGTTCAATTCCCACCAATGTATAAAAAAAAAATTTGTTGGCTATGAAGTGCTCATATCAGAGATACTGCACCTATAAGTTAGCTTGCCAGGGATTAAAGGCATCTCCTTTAATTTAATAGGTGGAAGTTTTATTTTTATCCTTTCAAAATCTGAAGGATTAGCTTCCTTTAAAGTCTCCTCTCATCTTCTTAAGGTTATTTGTGAAATGTATATGATGATATCAGCAGCCAAAGCAAAACAAATGTGATTTCGCTTAGGAAAGTACTGATTTAAACAATTGGAGACCTAAGGGTAAATGTACAATGTTCAATCTGAAATAGGAACCTGGTAACCCCTAAACCTGTGGTACAAGGATCAATAGCTCACTTGGTTTGAGTGTATTGTCTTCTCTATGATTTTTCACCAATTTTTGTGCTGAATCTGCTGACATTGTATTTTGATAATCTTTCCTTCCACGAACCAATCTTGTTTTGACTAATTAACTCCAAATGATATCCTTAAGATGTTCAATCACAACATATCACATTTATCTAATATAGCAAGCAACGTGCTTATACATTTAGCTTTGCATTATGACTCAAAAGTAAAAATAAACATTTACTTAGAGAAGTCTGCAGCCATTAAAGAAAGTTGCAGCAGCTTCCATCCCATGGCTACCTGCTATATGCGAAATTTGTGACTTTATACTTGTGTCTATGCTAGAGTAACCTCGATATATAATACAGTAGACTTAAAATCAGGTAGATCCCCAGCTTTAACTTCTGGCCTCAAAAACTCTCTTTGCAATTTGCAGCTGACCTTCTTTTCAGTGCTTCTGTCAATGGTATGTGTTCTTTTAGTTTTACTCTTGTAACCATTTCTGTTGTTGGCAGGATACATTTCTTCCTCGGAACCCATCCTGGAATTCTGTTGTGTACACAGGGTGGCAAATCTAATATCTGAACTCACCAAGGTCCTAGGAGTGCTTCTTCTAAGCAAACAACTTGTATGGTAATATATGGTCATCTATTCTTAATTGGCTTTGTTATTCAATAATAGTACTTTACTTGCAACAGTGTTTTCTGCTTGTATTAACAACCTCCCTCCCATCTATTATAAAACTTTTGATTATTGGTTGCCTCAGTGCATTCCTTATCACTTAGGGGGCGTTTGGTTGAGGAAATTTTTTTGGAATAGTAGGAAAATGTAATAGATAGAGAAATGATTGGAAAGATAGATAAAGTGAGATAGGTAGAAAAATGTAAAAAAAAGTTGTTTGGTGGAAAAAAACTTTACTGGGAAAATTAGGTAAATTTTAGGGTATGTATGTTTGGTTGGAGGTGAGATATAGATGGGAAAACAATGTTAAATTACTAAAATAACCCTGATTTTAAAATTTAAAAAAAGAGCACAGCTGTCAAATTTGCTTCTATACAAGGGTATATTGGTTACACAAAATTTGCTTTAGCCGTGGTTTTTCAAAAAACCACATACGAAACAGTTTTCCAAACAGTGGACAAAGCGTCTTTTTCCTAACAATTTCTCAAAACCCATGCATTTTGGATCACTAGTTTTTTATCTGAATCCATCTAACCAAACATGTCTTTTTTGGAATCCACACGCCACATGCCAAAGAAAATTGGAAAAAGAGGCTTGCCAAACACCACCTTATGGAAAAACTTATTGAAGCTGTGTCCGAAACAGAACACTACTTGTCTGTTGTGGCTTACAAGAGAAAGAGTTCCTTGTAAGTGCATCTTGTCTACCCATTGGGTGAAACAAATCTAGGAAGAGAATGTAATTTGGGGTAACGCTTAATCGGTTAATGGTCATATAAATTGCATGAACAACAAACAGAGTTCAACAATCCTCACAAGTGTTACACTTATTTAAAAATCTGTCTGTGTAAACGTTGTTGGTTACTTGGTTCCACGCCAATGTTAGATGCCAGCGCCTCTCTTAAAATCCAATTAGACGAATTGAGGGAACTCAAAAGAGTTCAGATTTTGCTGACCAAAAAAAAAAAACAAGAGTTAAGGTTTATCATGGCCAATAAAAACAGAAAAAGAAAATAACTCAGATTTATCAATGCTTCATAACCATGATCTAATAAATGATAAATTAATAGAGCAAATAAAAAATAATTATATGGTTTTCGGAATACTACTTACCGGTAGCTTTTATTTATGTAAGCCATAACTGTACATGAAGATAAAATAAGTCTACCAAGTGTGCTGTTGGTGCCAGTGTGCCCTTGTCAAATTAACTTGGGCCAAACGGAGTAAGAAATAATCCCAAAAATTTAAAAAAAAAAATGGAATTGGGCTAAGATGTGGTCCAAAGAGGGTTTTATGCAAATATCTTGATTGAAGATTGGGCTAAACTAATTCGGCATTTTATTCTGTAATTTTCAACGATTTTTTTTTTTTTTTTTTATATTTTTCAATAGATTTTTATTTATATATTATCAATCAGGATAAAATATAATTCTCTTTATCATGCGCGTTCTTTGAAAATGTCATTATGCACCCCATAATGTCAGGAGCCCATCACATGATTAACTCCCAATAATAATAAAATCTTAAGCATATCCAAAAATAGGATAATGTCATTAACTAGTTTTAATAAGTTATAAGTCAAATGCTAAGGAAATTTATTCTTATAAGACGAATGGGCTTGTCGAGATGATAAGCTACTGGTGACACGGTTGATTTGGGATGCCTGAGGTCTAAGCAGTTTGAAGAGAACGGGGGAGGGGTATCTGCAAAGTACTTTGGCACGCAAGTTCAATATAGTTCAAGTATTTAAAGATAAATGATCTTACCTGAGTTGAATACTTTTGTATTTATAGTAGAAGAATGCCTTGCTTTTTGCCACCTTTATATGGCAATTCTTACTCTTATTGGTGGAGCATGGTGGCTTTTCACATGCTATTTCTTGGGCGAGATGCCTATGGTCACACTATATAGTCCTAGTAGAGGTGGTGACAAGTTGGTGTTGTTCTTCAGTTATTGGGTTCATGTGGAGGTTAAGTTGTTCTGAGCTGTTGATATTGTCAATGATATTTTCTTATATGCTAAGTTACTTGACAATAATCCAGGTTGGCGAGATGCCCACGATTTATACGCGGGAAGGACTTCTTTCCTTTAGGGTTAAGTGATGGTTCCTGATCTTTTGGATTTTTGTTGGATTGAGTCTCCATCTCGCATATATGAGATCCAGGTTAATACTTACTTGCATAAATTCCTCAACTATTACACATATATATATATATATATATATATATATATGTGTGTATATAGGGGCAGAATCATCTTACGACACCAAATCTTAACTATTGATTTTCTACATCTAAAAGTAAAGATTTATTAGGTTTCACTCATTAATTAATTTTTAATTCCCAATAAATCTCAACCATTGGATGTACGGAAATCAACGATTAAAATTTGGGGTAAGTTTTATTATTCTTACACCGGTGTAAGTTGATCCTATCATATATATATATATATATATATATATATATATATATATTTAGAAATCGACAATCACACAAAATTGACAAAATAGAAAAGAGAAGAGAGAAGAGAGATTAACACAATAGTAAGAATATCTTACCTTTTATATATATATATATATATAGGGTTTAATGTCTCTAATATTATAGAAAATAAAACTATCTCTTATATAAATATAAAAATATATGAAGCTCATACTTGATTTTTCTCTCTTTTCTCTTCACAAAGCCTCAGATAAACCCATATATTTTTATATGTACAGAAGAGTGGTTGGAGAAGTAACCAAATTGAAAACTTGATTAATAGTAATATCGTGCATGCCATTCCCCCACTTTATTTCAAATCAGTAAACCCTATGCCCATCCCATCTTGGGACAAATTGATCTGCTTTATCAAGTCGCGCATGATCATTGAAGATCTCGCGTTTGAAACTTTGACAACCACTAGATTTGGAAGTTCCCAGTGGAAAGAAACATTGTTTTGACGGTGAAAGTCGTGCTCTATGGTATAGATTTGTGACATATAAAAGGACAAGATGTAAAGTAAACCTCAATATGGAGGAGGGGTCCCCTTCTCGTCGATCTGATTATGGTTCTGTTAGTTTGCCGGGTTTGGAGATATGGTCAGCCTCATATGGTGCAGGTATATATCCGGATACAGTGACACATCTTTGCCTCCAAATTCATATGGACCATATATAGACAGGAGAATGATCTGTTTAGAATTTTTTTTACAAATTACACACTAAATATGACCGGTCATACTGATTAGTGTATGACCGGCCAGACATAGTGTAGTTTGTAAACAAAAAGTTTATTAATATAACATGGGGAAGGATATTGTAACAACCAAGTTGTGTTACTACCGATCAATCTCACCGTTAGATCGATTATGTTGATCCAACGGTTATATTTATTCCATCTTTGCATTAAATATGGGAAATCATAACCATACAAAGGTTATAAATATAAAGTATTACATTTGAGAAATCATGACCATAAAAAGATGGAAATAAATATAACGTTGGATCAACATAATCGATCTAACGGTGAGATTGATTGGTAGTAACTTGGTTGTAACACAACTTGGTTGTAACACAACTTGGTTGTTACAATATCCTTCCCTGTATAATATTCCCCAAATATATATATATATATATATATATATATATATATATATATATATATATATATATATATAGCGAGAGAGAGAAAGACAGGATATTTTTACTACCAATGTTTTCTACTACCACTCTAATCACCATTGGATTCAAAATTTATTTTCCTTTTTTCTCTCTTTATTCAACTTTTCCTCTAATCCAATGATAATTAGAGTGGCAATGAAAAAATTGGTGATTTATCCTGGTTCACTCAATATAAGCTACGTCCAGCTTGTCTGTACTATATTTACATCACCGACACTCATTACAAGTCATTCGATTTACAAGAAAAATATAAATATGATTAGAAAAACCCTAACAACAGCTATTCATGGGCTCAAGCCCAAACTACTAAGAAAAAGAAAAATTACAATAGATCAGAGGCCCACAACAGTACCTAGCATCTACTGGCCTGGGGGCGCTGCCTTCCGAACCTCCGCTCGCTCACCTGGGAGCGGGACCCCAGTTGCCTTTCTGCTGACCCCAATACCAAGGGCCTTCATCAGCATGCGAAATATGAGCCATACCCAACACACACACACACACACACACACATATATATATGTTCATTTTTTCTACATTCAATGTAGATAACTTATCTACATTGAGCCCAAAATGACATCGCTTTGAGACGGAATCAAGGTATTTTTGTAATTATAATTTATTTCAGGGTTATAATAGTCTTTTTCATTCTAATTTTTTAATTTGTTAGCCAAAAACGACATCGTTTTAGAACCAAATGTAGATAACTTATCTGCGTTCATTTTAAAAACATTTATATATATATATATATATATATATATATATATATTATGTTTATAAATTTTTTGTTTATAAACTTTTAAAATTTAACTTTGTATTGAATGTGATTTTCCGGAATATATAATTGAGTTTGTAAATGTAATTCTTTTCATATATATATGTGTGTAAACAACTTTTGCTTTTTGTTTTGTTATTTTCAAAACAACCAATGGACCACCGAAAAACTCTTTGTGGGAAAAAAAAATACTCCTGAGAAACAGAAGTGGTTTATCCTTTATATATATATATATATATATATATATATATATATATATATATATATATATATATATATATGGGTAGAATATTGTAACAACCAATTAGAAAAAAGATATTAATATTTTATATTTTTTTTCACCTTTGTATAGTTATGATTTCTCATATTTAATGCTTTCACATTAAATAGGGAATAATAACCATACAAAGATTGTTTTAATTATATACAACCGTTAGATCAATTTATTCGTCTAACGGTGAAATTGATTGGTAGTAACACTAGTTGATTGTTACAATATTCTACCCTATATATATATATATATATATATATATATATATATATGGGTTTAGTGAGTGTACAGTGACTAAATGTAAAAATTCGTCCAGTGCACTAAGTTCTCTCGCGAGAACACAGTTATAGTAAATTTTATAACTATGTTCTCCCTGAAGAACACCTGAAGAATACCATTATAATATTTAGTGCACTAAGTTCTCGCGGGAGAACTTAGTGCACTCGACAATCCAGTGACTGAATTTTCATTTTTTCCTATATATCTATATATATAACTTTTTGACTGATATGGTATTCGATTATCACATAGAGATTCATATATCTTTGTTCTTGAGAAAGGTTAAGAATTCTACCAACCATGAACTAATGAATTTGGTTGATTTAGAGAATCAACATCCATCCCTTCCGGTCTTCAATGTATCCTTCAAATTTAGCCAAAAGCTGCCTATAACAAACACTGAAACCTGCAGCCCAATGATATCTCAAATTCAATCCAATCTTTCTCATTTTCGTTTAGGAAAAAGGAAAGGAGAAGAACATAAACAAATGAAAATGATCCTAGTACACTATAGTTACCATGCATGATCTTTCATTTTAGTAGAAAAGTAACAGTTTAAAATTGTCATGGTTATTGTTGTACGGTGCTCAATTAAATTAATTAAGCTTCATTGTGCACATTTGTGGTCCCCAAAATTAATCAAGGTTTGGGCTATCCCCTTTAGAAATTTGCATCCTACAAAAGAGCAAAAGGGACATATCTAATTAAAATCTTGTATGGTTCCGATATGACCTAATCAAGGTAATTATTAATTTGTCAATATCATCCTTATTTTCTTGTGCGAGATGGTCCCACGGCTACTAACTTAAGTCAAAATGAATAAAAATATTTGATTCAGCTGTTAATTAATTGTTATATGTAGAAAACGGGCATTTGGCAACTGGCAAACAAGAATATTTTAAAGATTAATATTCTTTATGTTGTAGTTATTTTTTACATACACATAAAAACTTATAGAACCATGTGGAGTCATACCAAAAGAAGAAAGAGATAAAAAGAAAATATAAGTCCTACACATTATCATTAATTATAGAACACATTAATTAACTCATCTTGGCCGTTAAATCTTCGAATGTGAAATTTGCATGAATTGTGTTACAAATTTAATAAGGAGAGTTTTATCACATTTGTGGTTTTATCCGATTCAAATTGCACTAGTCAAATAATCGATGAGAGTGTGAAAAAATCTAAAAAAAATATAAATAAAAAGGAAAAGTTACGTAAGTTAACTCTAATATCATTCAGTGTGATCTCGTTTTTCTTCTTGCCGGACCGTCTTGTACACGGGGTACTCTAGATGGCTGCGAACTTGTACTACTACTATCATGGAATAACTTTTATTCACTTTTTTATGTATATAATCTATCTACAGGATTACTTCCACAAGAATCTATGTTTTAAACTTAATTAGGTTTTCCTTCGTCAACTTTAAATTTGTTTGAACTTCAATGGCGATTAGACGGTGTTCTAAGCCAAGAAGGGTCATTCTCAAGTTGGATGTAACTTCTTTAATAAATAAGGTCTTGCGCAAATATGGAGGATTTCTTTTATTTAAAAAATAAATTAAAATTATTAATCTATTCTGGACCAGCCTATTAGGCCTAGTAGGCTAGTACTGGCAAAGTGGGACAAATATTCTTTTTCCAAAATCGATTCCTCTTCGCACCCACCGGAGAAGCTTCGCTTTCTCAGGAGCTTTCCTGCGATTTCTGTGGTGAGGGCTTATGTGATATGGGCCTCTTGCCCTTTTATCTTTCTGGGCCGAGTACCAGTTTATCTTTTGATTCAAGAGCTTAATTGTTAAGGAGATCTATTGAATTAGAATTTTAAAAGATTTTTTTGAAATAAATTTTTTTATAGATTTTAAAAGATTATTTAAAGTAAAAATTCATATCAGACATTGCGTGTGTAGAGTAATCACTATACATAAAATGATATGTCATATTTGTATACTTTTTTTTTTATTCGTACGGTTTTTTTTTTTTAAGTAATTCATTGATTTCTGTCAATCTAATCACTGTTAATTTCCGTCAATCTAATGATTATCATTTATTAGAAATTACTGGGTCGTATTTATTAATCAATTATTAATTTCAATAATTAGATTGATTATAAAGATTGTAAACTTTTTTTGTGGTAAATATATACTTCCGCCCGTAATTTTGAAACGTTTGTTAAAAAGTATAGATGTAGGAGCGTAAGAAGACTCTTCTTTGTGAAAAATGAAACTGAATAATGCAGGGAGTCCTCGTAAGGTCAGAGAGCGTAATTTAGGAAACTCTATGTGAGGATGACATAATTCTGGATCTGCACCTTCTACAACCACAATTGCCTCCATGAGTTTGCACTCTGAAACTTCTAAATCAAAAAGATGAGGGAGGATTTTGATCATTGAATTTGAGAAGAGAAATATCATCCCATCGCACTTGTGTACTTTGATGACTCTTATTTTGAAGAAAGTTTTCTCAGTTAGAGGACCACAGAGGCAGAGGAGTCTCCCCCTCGTTGTTGTCATTGTTAATCAAATACTTCCTTTCCCCATTTTTTCCTATTATGCACTCACATATATCTCTGAATCCTCTATATGCTGCAAGATGCAAAGGAGTGTGTGTTCCCTCTCTCATTCCTTACTTCAAATGCTTTCTACATCTCCAGAGTGTATGATTGCCTCTACAAGACGTTTAACAACCCCATCATTGCCAATTTGCCATCACTCACAGCCAAGTGCAGTGCAGTGCCTCTGCCTTTGTTGATCTACTACATCTTGCATAACTCACTATGAATTTTACATCTTCCACAGTACGTACACTCGAGAAACTTGTCTTTCATCAGGTCTTCCGTATCAGAGATTGACTCGGAGGATATCTCTTCCACACTGTCTAAAGCAGAGATTGATTCGGAGGATATCTCTGCCATATATACTGTCGAAAATAGAGATTGTTTCGAAGGATGAACGATATATAGATGTGAGATGGGAAAAGAGAACGTTGCTCAACGAAGCTGAAGTCCTTGTTCTCTCGTAAATATCATCTAAACTACCGTATTTAACCACCTGCCGTATTTATTGCTCTAACTCTCCTCCAAAGATAGAGGCTACAATTTCGTGGATTTGGTGTATAAATTATTTAAGATTTGTTTCTTGAAAAAACGACATCATCTGTAAATAATTTAAACAAGCGAACATCTTTACTTGAAGATAAAATTAAATTTTAAGATATCTTTTATAATAAAAATTTAAATGATTATCTTTAGTGAACTTTCTTATTATCTCCACCAGAAAGATAAGCAAGTTTTCATTAATTAGTTACTCTCTCTTTTTTATATCAATCTCAATAAGAGTAGAATTATCTTCTTTTTAAACCTCCCTAAACCGACCTGTTGAATCTTGAAGATTTTGCTCTATAAAAAGCAGCACAGTACTAAGCAAAACATTGTTTACAATTTATTTCTTGTTTGGAACCGTGATACTGTTAGAGCGCTTAGTTTTTTCGTCTTTGATTCATGGAGCCCTCTGTTTGCTTCCATATTGTTGAATCTCGTCAACATTCTTCTATTCCACTAAACAGTCATTTAGGCCAATTTTTCTCCATAAATTTTCACTGCAGAAAAGTAGTTTATCCCTCATCAAACCACCAAATGCCCACCACCACAACCTCATTCCACGGGTCCTATTTGATTCCATGGGACATCTTTTACGATTTTGATGAATTCGAAATCATGGGACCTGAGAGTATCATTATGGCGTATTTGCATGACACTTTTTCCTCTCTTCCTATGTCTTCCGAGAACCTGGACTCAATTATACTTGCTATAGGTCGACGCGCTACACATATGATCAGCAACAACATTGAAGGAAGTCAGATACTGCAAATGGATGTGGTAGTTCGCATTGCCATTGGCCTTAGTGATATTGATCACCAGAGCGTGTCTATATCAACCCTTGTGAATTCCTTGGAAAAAGTCACAATCAATCAAGATGGTTCTTCTAATTTGGATGATACATGTTCTATTTGTTTGGAGGGGTTGGGTGATGGATCAAACTCAAAGCTTGTTCGCACCAAATGCTCGCATGTTTTCCACGAAGATTGTATTACCGAATGGTTTCAGTATTGTAACGCTCGTCAATCCTATTCTTGTCCTTTGTGTCGTTGTCAAGTTACATATGTTGATTGAGTTTTCAAATTGTAGAACAACTTTATTGTTTATTGTATCCACTAGGGCTAGCCTAGTGGTGTGGGTGTGTGGTTGTGTGTTCTATTCCCTGTAACCTACAAAAAAAAAAAAAAACTTTATTGTGAATTGTATCAAACTATTGCTAGAAAATTTTATTTAGTATATTATTGTGGGCTACATATTTAATTATTAATTATATTATGTTATTTAATTATTAGATAAATTAAGTAATCTATTAAGAAACTCAATTATATTTCACAATGAGCATAGGTTAAATGAGTTGATACTCACATTGTCTTAACATGATGTAATGGAAACATGGTGGACCGGTGGACCAAATGATAAAGAATCAAAAAACAGTTTTAGTCCTAATATGTCAAAAACCAGTTAGATAGTTTTTTTTCCCTTGAAGAGATAACTTCCACATAAGGATTTTCACTTTGGTGATTTGGATGAGGAAAATCATCAATCCCAAAATTTTACGACATCAAAAAACCACAATTGTTGTGATGGAATCACATACACTTTAAGTTTAGCTCCTTTAGTTTTCTTGATGATCTAATATGATGTAACGAAGGATTTCTGACGATGGTTTTCACAATAAGATATTTGGGAGAATCCCAATAATTATTGTTGCGTATTTTTTAAAAGCTCATTAAGTAGATCGATATATTTTTTTCTAGTATTTATTGTTTCATGAGTTAAGATAATTAATGAAAGTAAAAAGATAATTGTGGAAAGATTTGATAAAATTTAATTTATAGATAAAATAATTATGAGATGGGATTGAGAACTTTTTGAGTTTTCACAAGCATTATCCCGTAAATTGGAAATTCCGTTAAAGCAATAAGTGGCTAACTAGCTATAGGACTTTTGGAATACACGTTGCTAGTCAAAGTAAACAATGTAATAACAATTAATTCACAGTAAAATATAGCCACATAATGCAAATCAAGGTAGTTTGTTTAAGCAAGTGAAATAACTACTATGAACAGAACCATTTTTCTTTCCATTATCTGTTTCTGTAAATGCAATGAGTGATAATTTGATATTTTCTTTTTCTTTCTCTCCTCCTACAGTCCAACCAGAAAATCTGATGTATGCTTCTTTATGCTTGTTTATGATATAAGCTTCAATAATGCTATTTACATGATATTATATGTATAATTGTTCATTAATGCATGTGGGTTAATTGATCTTAAAAGAAAATATAAAAAAAATAAAAGTTGAACCAGAGTATTTTTTATTTTATTTTGGGGTGATAAAACCAGAGTGATTTAAATCTTAGTTTATTATAACTGCATAAATTGGGGTAGCATTAAACAGTAAGCTTCTCACCCGATGGTAAATAACGATAGGCTTCTTTAGTCCTTTATCCTATAAAAAATGAACCGCCTTTGGTTTGAAACAGACACCTTTCTACGAATCTTCTACGCCCGTATTTGTAAAGAATTTTCAAAAAGGCCCTATCACAAATAAAAAAAAAAAAAATCATAATAGGTTAGCCCTAATATACTAGGGCTTTATATTTGACTTTGTGAGATGACTTGCGGATTTTAATTTATTTTAGAGAAATAATTATTTCATGTTGTATGAAGTAATTATCTATTGTAACAGAGATAAAATAATACGTTTTTTTTTTTGAAAAAGTAATGGATTCCACAATCTTATCTATGTTGCATGAGATTATCTCATGCAACATGAGATTAACATATCCTTTTATTTTAACACTTCTAATACCGATTGTATTGACCGATAGTTTAAAAGAATAATAATAGTATTGTGCATTTTATCCTCGTAAAATAGATTCAGGTAGATACCGTTTAGTATTATAAGCATTCAAATTAACTATGTGGATTAGGAAGAAATATACTTATTTTTAAAACAAATTCTAATTTAACTACACTTTACTATACACAATTAAGATATTATTATGAGTAACATCGTGAGAAAAAACAACGAAATGCACCTATTTTTAAAAGATTATTTTACACGTATCAAATGATAATTTAAATATCTAAAAAATAACATGATAAGCCTTACATAATCAAGAGTTTTTTTCCTATATCTAAATAATTCATTCGCCCATCTCAATTTATTAATTTGAATGTTTATAATAGATAATCTTACCTAAAAAATTGCTTCCTCAAAAATCTTTTATAAACTTAAAATAGATATTTGATCTGATCAACTATTTAAAAATTTTTATAAAGTAAAATGCATACGGTAACTTACATAAAAATATGTAAAATTTGTAATAATAAAATCTGAGCTTCTAGCATCTTCCGTTTGATCATAAACTGGATGGATATCACAGAAATAGGAGTCACGGGCAGCCATAAAACTGTCAAGTTGGCCAAATGGAGCATAGTAGTTAGGGTTTAATTAACGAAAATTAATCAAAATATAGGGCATGTTGTTGTTTTAAGGTCAAAATGATTAGTTAGGAACTTAGAAATAATGGGGTTGATACATATTATGATTTGGTAGACTAGCTAGTTAGCTATGAGACAAATTTTAGGGAGGATTTCAACCGCTGTGACGTTTACTTGGGATCAACATATCAAATTGAATGTCGACCTGAATTATAAGATAATTAATAAAATATTTGTTTGATTGGAACATAAGTATATGGAAAAAACAACTATCATATTGTAGGATAATTTTCTTGTCATGCTATAGAGACAATAATTGTTGGGTTCACCTTGTTTAAAAAAAAAATTACAGTACAAATATCGATGTATGTGTAGAAAACTTTGCATTTATCATGCAACATGACAAATGCAAAACTCTAAGTATAATATTACCAAACACGTAAATCAATTGGTATGAGTTTGATTTACCTTAATCAATGATCTTAAATTCAAATTATGAGTATATATATAATTGTATTAAAAAACTTGATAGGAAATTTTTTATTCTTTTTATAATTATGCTCGGTGTTCTGTCGGTATGATAGAGATGTCTAACCAAGGACTAGTAGATCAATATTGGATCTGGTGCTCTCTCTAAATACCTATGAACTAGATATCTTGAAAGTAGCAAATAACGGTACACAATCATGAGGTCTTAGCCATAAATGGAGATGATGCGTGTGTACTGTGATTGCATAAAATATATTAGAGAGAAATTAGTCATGCTTGTGGTCTTTAACTCCTATTTATAGTGTTTACCTTAGGATTTGAATCATTTGGGTCTTCTTTTCTCTTGGCTTGCTCTGTTGTTCGCATGTTACTTATCTGCCCGTCCTTTATTGGGTCTTCCAAGCATATGGACCTTACACAAATCCATAACATTTGTCTCGAACTGAATTAATTGAATAGAAAAAAAAAATTGAAGTATGGCGGAAGAAGAATTGGTGTGATAAATTCAGGCATGTCTATCATAAAAGGAATATGTATGTAGATTGGTTTGAAAATAATGTCATCACCAAAAGAAAAGGAATGAATGCTTAGCACCATACACCTCAATATGTATATTGGCTTATTAGTTTATTGCGAACCTTTTAGGACTTAAGAGTCTCTAAACTGCTCTAAATAACTTTTGTAGTTTCTTTGTTTGTTTTTCTTCATTTTATCCTCACTAGTACTGACTGCCAACCAAGAAAAAATATATATTTGTATCTATGTGTGTGTCGGCTTGTATGTAGGCACCACCATACGCACATGTGCCACGTGTCAAAGGGTCTAGTACCCTTTAATAAGGGTCTCTGTGCGCCTTCATTTCATCACAATTTAATATGGTGTCAGAATTTTCTGTATATGAAAATATATTCTCTCTTAATTTTTATATAATCTAGTCGGGTAAGATTTTTGTATTTATTATTTTATTAATAATAATAATAATTAAACTTCACTTATTTAATACATGTAAAAATAAAAAATAAAATAAAAAATTCACGTGATGAAATTTTAAGACGAGAGGATCACTCCCTCTATATATGTAGCCTTCATTTGTCTATTACACTTGGTTGGGCAATAGCGATATCTGCTCCCTTACCCTATTTTAGGAAAAAATTTAACATGCTCTAGGCCCATCATTTATTCAGTGGTCCTTTTTTTATAAATGAAAATTTTTCTTCTATTTCTACCTTTTCTTTTTGATTTTTTTCCCATCTATCCTTTCTTTTTTTTTTCTATTTTTGGTAGGAACCACCATAGTTTCGTCCCACAAAAAAATCTTCTCCTATCTTAGAAATCTTCTGACAATAACATTGAAATGGAGAAACTAATTAAAGAGCACAAAATTTAGTGAAAAAATTATTCTTAAATGAACCAAACATTCAAATAAGAGTGAGTAATATTCGATTGTAAGAAATTCAATTCATATTTTTTTATTCTTTTATAAAAAGCAATTTCGTTTACCATACATAACATTGTTGACCATAACAAACCAAAAACAAAAAGGGAACCTAGTTAGTGAAGTTACCACAACAAAATAAACCAGAGGGGAAAGAAACATATATAGGTGAAAAAGAAAAGAAAAAGAAAAAGAAAAAGAAACCAAGTAAACTGGTAACATTGATAGTAATGTGACCTGCAACCATGTTAGAACGCTGTCCCACTGTCAGACCTATTGTTAGATTTAGAAATGAAATGAAATGAAATGAAACAACACGTGGCAGACAAGAATTGAGTCCAGCACTCAATTTTGAAAGAAATGGATTTTGAACAAACTTCAGTGACCCCAAAAGGAGAAAAATTCCTTAATGGGAACAGATTCGCAATTCACAGAAGATCTATTCTATATCAAAATGGTGAACGGGACCCCGCAAAGATTATATTTTCTTGGACCCACATGAGATTTCAAATATTTCCTGGATGGGGTCCCCTTTTATGATCCCAACCCATTGCTCCTTTATTTATTTGTTGTCCTTTTTTTTCTTTTTTTTGGTAGGAACCTTGGAAATATATTTTCACAACCTTCTTCAATCAGTTTGTTTCTGCAATATGGCCCCTAATGTTAACTTTTCATTAAAACAATGGGTGTATTGAATTACTATTGATGAAACTAATTTTAATTTTAGAATTTCAAAATGACGTCGTTTTGGACTCACTGGAGATAATTTTATCTCTAGTGACTGGAGAAATACTTTTCCTTTTATTTATTTTGAATAAAGTGACTGTCAAGTAAAACTAAATGCACATGAATATTTCAAAATCTTATCAATATTATTTCAGGATTTTATTTTGATTATTGCTTAAAACATATTATTATTGTTGGAAATAATCAAGTGTGAGTAGTGATGAAGTCTAGCACCGATTAGAAATATTCCAAGTGAGTACCATATAAGTGTAAAAAAGATCCATACAACTTGAGCCTTAAGGCTCACTTGTTGTAGTTTGTCGCTTGGCCCTTTGGTGGAGATATCCTTTGTAATTAAAGGGTTTTGAGCTCCCACTTACTGTTATTAACCATGGTTATTTAGCTGGGCCAAGGCTAGTGTGATTCCAATAGTCGAAGAAAAGTGACAATATGATGTTGGACGTGGATATTGCAAATAATCAAGTGTGAGTAGTGATAAAGTCTCATATAAAAGCAAAAATGTTTCAAGTGAGTACCATATAAGAGCAAAAAAGATACATACACTGCCTTAATGTCTTTCATGTTATAGAGATAATTTTATCTCTTACATACACATAAAAGTATGTGAGACTCATTTTTTTTTCTCTCTCTTCTCTTCGCATGGTCTCACATGAGCCTTATATATTTTTATATATATGTAGGAAATAAAATTATCTCCTAGAGAAACATCAACCCTATTTTTAATAGTGAATGTATTAAGGACTTATTATTTCTCAAGTTGTTTGAGATAACTTTATCTCCGGCTACTAAATCATAACCGTGAATCAGGATATTTTTGTAATTATAATTTATTTCAAGGTTATAATAGTTTTTTTCATTATAACTTTTTAATTTTTCAACCCAAAATGACATCGTTTTGGGAGTGAATGTAAATAACTTATCTATATTCATTATACAAACATTAAAATTAAAAACTTTTACTATAACAAATAAGTTGATCATTGTATAAAAAAAAATAAGTTGATTAAATGTAAACTCAATCTTTTAACGTGTGGCACAAACACTATACATTACATGTAACGTGCATTCCGTGACAAAAGTGGACCCTCCTTGCTGTTTTTCATCTGTGTTTTTTTTCCCTCGAGATTCTTTTCAGTTTGTGGGGTTGTGACCACTGACCAGACTTGTATACCCAAAAAACTGAACAATTAAAAGGAAGGACCAAGGAGGGTTTCGTTGCCTTTTACTAGTCTTAGCAGTTGAAATGGCACATACACATTGACTGCAAAAACGTTAGCGACAGGTCTTACCCGATGTCAACATTGCGTCCAATTTCAGGCAAGCACATCCCTTTTTGTTTTTTTGTGATATCTGTGGATATTTTTTCAAGATCTTGTTATTGATGTTTTCCTAATTTTGGGTTCAAACTAAGTGACATTAATTATATCAGTAAATCAGAATATGAATTTTCCCTTGCTTGCAGGCTAGAAGGCTCGAGCATGCATGTGATCATACACACATATATATATATATATATATGTAACATCAATAATTTCTAGAAGGCTCGAGCATGTGAGCATACATATATATATATATATATATGTAACATCAATAATTTCTTTATGTTTACATCATCGTGATAAGAAAGCCATCATATATTCATATTGAGTAAAGCCTTATAAAGGGTCACCACCTCCATTCCTTAGGGAAATACGACCCTAAAGTAGGCTTAGGTAACGTTGTCTGTTAGTTCGAAAGAAGTCTTCTTGGCCCACATGCATGCCCTTTCGGATTTAAATAATGCATATCTCATAGCACTCAGTATTTTAGAATGGAAATTTTAAAATAGAAGTAAATAATAATAATACTATTGAATAAGTAAATCAATAATTATTAATATTACATACATTCACATGCATAATAAACTATTAATCCCTCATTTTTTGTAAACAAAATTGCAACTTTCACTGAAATTAAATTTATATCAAAATAAATTTGGATTTAATATTTCTCTAGTAATAACTTATCTTCCGTGAGTCCAAAACGATATCGTTTTGAGATCAGAAAAAATGTATTTTTGTAATTCTAATTTATTCAGAGATTATACTAGTCTTTGTTATTATATTTTTTTTCTATCAATCCCAAAACGATATCATTTTAGGTTTACTTGAAAAAAAAATTAAACCCATCAAATTTATACTAAAATGTATGTGGCTGAAGAAATTAAGAGGAAAGTGAAAGCAGTTTAATTAATCAGTAAAGAAAGAAGCATATTTTCAAAGTCTTAATATTAACCTAATACTATGATCCATACCCAAAATCAACCCTTTTTCCATGATGATGATGTTGGGGTTTTTTTCTTAGCAAATAAAATAAAGTCCAATTGAAAGTGGAAAGAGAGAGAAAGTTACGTGTGGTGGTTGCAACAATGAGGTAGAGAATCTAAGGGTAAAGATCTCCGCATGAAAGCACACACAAACCCGTTGCTGTTTACTGTACAGTTTTTCTCTCATATGCACCCACTTATATAGAAAAAGCCACAGACAATTACATTCCACCTCTCATTCTCATTCACCCCTTTTCTATCTCTCTCTCTCTCTCTCTCTCTCTCCCACACACACACACTCTCTCTCTCTCACTGTGTGTGTGTATGTGTGTGTGATACAAAGTTAACTAAGAGGTTAAGAAGATAGTTTATATGCTTCTACTGAACACAGAGATGGAGCATGTGGATACCAGAGAGCTACAACAACAGAAGCAACAGCATTTTCATGTGTTGGTGGTTGATGATAGTGTCATCGACAGGAAGCTTCTGGAGAGGCTTCTGAGAGATTCTTCATGCAAAGGTAGGTAGCTATATATATACACCCTTTGTTAGTTTTTTCTTCTTCCATTGTCTTCTCTGTTTTGGTTTTGGCCTTGGAACATCACTCACATTCCATTTTATGTTTGATTAATTCAATTTGTGATTTTCTGGGGCTATAATAAATATGGGTTTGACTTGTTAAGCAGCTACATTCGTTGACTCTGGAGACAAGGCTCTGAAATATCTTGGCCTGCTTGATAATGCTTCCTCAACTTCTTCAGAATCCTTGCAACAAGACGTATTAATCTTTATCTTTCTCCTTATCTTCTTAGATTTCTCTGTGTCCGTACGCTTATATATGTGTACGCAGACAATTATTATTTAGGAGCATCTAATCTCATGTTCCACAATATACTCTTCTCATATCATAGATCCAACACATGATGGGTCTCACCATGTGTTAAAAAATAAAAAATAAAAAACATATTTGTCATGTATCTATAACATAAAATAACTCTCTTCTATTACCTAAGAGAATAATTTCTCTTATTATTTACTATGTTTGAGCTTTGTTGTTAGTTTTAACTGTAGCTATATATTTCCTTTATTTAATTTCTATTTCCTTCTTTAATCACAGATTTATAATGTCACTATTTCTCATCGTCTTTCTTTTTTATAATTATTTTAGAGTAGAGTATATATATAAAGAGAGAGAGAGAGAGAGAGAGCATATAAATGGTAATAATTAAGAGTTGAAGATGGGCTATGGCACTATTTTTCTGCTAAAATCTGCATTCAACAATATATTGAATCAAGAGATGGTTTTTTGAATTGTTAGTTAATTATATGTAAACAACATGAAATGCTCTACATAGAAGACTAGTTAGTGAAAGCACATTTCATAACTTAAAAGTTACTTGATAGATATATATATATGGAACTCAACGTACAATATCAAAAGTAATAAGTTATGCAAGTACTAGCTTCCTGAAGAATACATTAGAATATATAAGCATTTGATAGGATCATGAAAAAAAAAAAATTATAGTTTAATGACTTGAGCTGTTTTCTTGAAAAAAAAAGTGGAAGCTTTTTCGTTGCATTTACGTACACATGCAACTCCCATTAATTTGTTATTTGATTCAGCATTTCCTTTACAAGAAGCATATCTACTCTTCTCTTTTCTTTAAATCTCTCTTTTGCTTGTCCATCACGGTCATTTTTCACCCTTCTAAGTACTGATGCTATCTGATTTTCTTTTGGTAAAGCTATGTATATAGTCTTAAATAATTCTAATGCGAAACATGTACTATTGAATCTTTTGAATTACAGGGAATAAAAGTGAATTTGATCATGACAGACTACTGCATGCCAGAGATGAGTGGCTACGATTTACTCAGACGAATCAAGGTCAAAATTCTCATTCACCGACATAACCCCAAAATTCCTTTTCTCCTTTGCTTGAATCTCTCTCTATATTATATACATACGTGAGGTGTAAATAAGTTGTGTAGGGTACACTGATATACCTTAATTTATATTAGGTGAGACTTGATCTATTACAAAATAATCACATAAAACAGACTTATGTTTAAAAAAAAAAAATCTATTTAAAAAATAAGTCATAGGTTTTTTTTTTTATATGTCATATCTATAAGCTTACAGACCCGACCTATATAATATTATTTATTTAAAAAAATTATTATTTTAATAATTTTGAATAATAAAGTAATATTATTTTAGTTATTTTTTAATTATAGAATATTTAATAGGTTTCAACAGGTTAACAAGCCTAGGTCAAAATTTTTATTTTTTAAATAAAGATCAAACCAGACTTATAATTTGGACCTAAATATAAACATGTCAGACAATACCTAAATTTTTTCACACAAATCAATTCTATTTAAGTCAAAGTCTAACCTATTTACACTACACCTAAAGAGATGCCCAACATCCCCTTCCCGTGAATCAACAAATTAGAGTTCATAATACTGCTTAATAACTTGCAGAATGCCGAACATCAGGTTTTACTTAAACGGTTTTGCGGTGCTGTTACAATCTAACAAGCAAAAAGTATATGAATGACAGCATTATAACTTCATTTTATTTATTTATTTATTTGGTTAAAACTTTACTTTTAAAAAGTTTATTTGTGACAAAAATTTTCGTCACAAATGACAATTTTTGACACAAATAATCAAATTTCGTCACAAATAAATTTACGACTCAAAAATTTGTGACGAAATTTCATATGTAGTGACGAAATTTGCGACACTAATAAAATTTTTTCTTGTATTGAATTTTCAATAACAAGAATGAGAAAGAAAAAGGAAAAGATGCTGATTTCAGGATCAAAGTTTACTTTTTCTTTTTCTTTTGTTTAATTATTTATTCTTTTTGTTTTCCTTTCTTTCTTCTGTTGACATTTGTTACTGCAGCAGGGATCTTGTTGGAAAGATGTACCAGTCGTTATTATGTCATCAGAAAATGTCCCTTCCAGAATCAGCATGTAAGTTTTTAATTTTATTTTATTTTTCGTATTCCTTATCCCTTAACATTCAAAACACAACATCTTCATAACATAAAATAAAATAAAATTAATCTTTAAATTTTACATCTTTTGTTTTTTCATTTAAAGATTTTATTAGTGTTATGTAACATGATGAAGTGTTGTTTTCAACTCTCACGTCAAAAGGGAGAGAGAAAGTGAAATGATGAAAGAGAAAGAAAAACATGTGAACCCCACCTTTTTAATGTGTGTGTAGGAAAGTGAAGTTATATTATGTTAAATGATAAACATAAAACCCTTCGTTTAATTGCAAAACCGAAAGTATCAACACTATTGTGTCATAAAATACAAGTGACAAGAAAAGAAAAGAAAAATGCAGTATTGTGTGCCCAGTGCATACCCTGTGGAACCTATATTTTTTTGTATAACTTATTTATTTATTTTAGCGTTGGGAATGTTTGTTGATAGGTGCTTGGAAGGAGGGGCACAGGAATTTCTATTGAAGCCTCTTCAGTTATCAGATTTGAAGAAGCTTCAGCCGTACTTTAAGAAATTCTTTGATAATTCTAGTAAACAAGAATCTGCTAACAGTTCCGTAGCTTCTCACAACGATGATAATAACAAGAATCTGGAGCATAGTTTTAAATCATCTGCTATTGTATCAACAATATTGCAGTTTTGGAAGTCTCTGTAATCGCAACACAACAACTATAGTTGCGAGATTGCTTCAACTGCATTTTCCTATAAATATACACAAATTCTATAAGTATACTTGACCTTGACTGTAACACCAATTTAAAAGCAAGTTCCTGGATAGAGCAAGACTCAAAATTTCAGCGTTAGCGAAGGTGTAAAAAGTACTGCAGAGGGTGATTGATGCATATGGATTTAGTTCATTATTATCATCTTTATCATTTTCACTATTTACAGCTACAATGTATGTGTTATTTCACCTTCTTTGCTGAGCGTTGCATGCCAAATAAATCACTTGGAAACGAGTTTGACCATTTAAAAGGAACACTACATGCAAAGCTTTATTTATTTATTTATTTAGATAAACTATAGGTATACTCTAGGGAAAACAATCCTGTTCGAAGTGGGAACATTCACGTCATGGTGAGACTAACTCTCCCAAAGAAGATTTTTTTACATTCACAAAGACTTGAACACAAGATCTTGTTTAAGCGTAGTCAAGCATATACATTTAAACCAACCCCTTTTGGTACATGCAAAGCTTGATTGGTTGATTAGCTCCAACTCTCTTGCACTTCTCTTGTCAGAGAAAAATGTAGATTTCCAGGAGGTTTACAACTGAAACTGTTCAGGGTCATGCAAAATTCTTCTATCTTCCTCATGAACGCTTACAGTAGCTTTATGCTCACAATAACGCATACAGTATCTTCCTCATGGACTAGGTTTTTCTCATGCCATATAAAGAAACAAAAAAAGAACCGAACAAGGCAAAGCAAATGTCTGACAAATGAATCCGTGGAGACATCTGGCTTTGCTTTACTCAGCTTTATATTTTTAGGGTACAAAAGAAGGTAAGAGGCCCAATGAAAGTAAATCTAAAGGAAGGAACTTTGGGCTTCGTCTTAGAGGTGTCACACATAAGACAAAACTCCGCATCAAAGCTGCATTTTTTTTTCTCAGTGCTATTTCGTGCTCGGCTTCTCAAATTTTGACATTTAGATTCAATTAAGAGACAGTTTAAGAGCAATTAGTGTCACTGCACAAATTTTCTGCAGAATAAAAAAAAAAACATAATTTTAACTACATATAAATTGGTTTTGATTATTAATTTTTTTCAGCCAAATACTGTTAATATACATTTTTATAAACATTTTTTCTACATTGCTGATACAAATAGTAATGCAAAACTTTTTTATCCTACTATCTAATCAACTAATACCATATTAAAAAAGAATTTGACCTCTTGTCAACATAACCAAAACACTCAAAGATATGATATTAAGTAATGACATGAATCAAAATTAAATCCAAATACAATACAATTTTTTAGCAGATACAACCGATATCCAAAATGCTAACGAGCCCTATTACTCTATTTGAACCTCTTCGCCCTCTACATAAATTACGACTCTTAGACATCAATTCCATTGCCCAAAAGTAGGCCAGACATACAACCACTTAACTTCGTCGAGCATGCGACCCAATTATTGCAAGAAGTAGAGGCGGGAAATAGCGAGCAACTATGTAGGGATTTTTAATCATGCATCCTTTGAGAATCGGGAATCGACATATTGAAAATAGTATTCACAAGGATACCTAGCGATATAGAAAACTCATTGATGATCTAAACGCATATACTGATTTAAAACGGATCGAAGTATTTTTACAGCAACAATTTTTTAGTATTAAACTATACTACAAGGGGAAAAAATCCCATTTTATTCAGAAAAACGTATAAATGAAGACAAAACTGAAAGGGCAAACAATGGGCAAAGAAGCTCACTAAGATACTAAATTTTAAGCTACAAAGACATGTAGATCCTAAATATAACTTATTGTGTCTATATCCTCAGAGAGGAACAGCCACATACCTGCAAAGGGAAGACAACAATGAATGAGGAATTGTGGAAGACATATTTTATGGTTGACAATAAGGCAATCGAATGACAATGGGCATCTGAACTAAATAAATAAAGATTTTCACCTTTTCAAAGCTCATCTTTTACTTGTTCTTGCTGATCCGGTTTATCTCTGTTCTTTTCAATGAAATCTATGATGTCATCCTTCGTCCTGTTTCCATCATACTGTGATATCTTTCCACTTGCTGACCTAAAGTACACAGTTGGATAACCTTGTACATCAAAGATTTCACTAGGGATATCATTGGCAGTTGCATCCTGGAAAGAAACACGAATGTGGCAAAAAAAAAAAGTTAAGCAAAAAATATAAAAAGCAACAAATTCATTAAAGCGTATTTCATTAAAATCAGTACACCAATCACAGTCATTGTTGTGTGATTATTAGTGTACCAAAATCCTTTTAGTTGTACTGTCATCAAGCGGCTTACACCAAAGTGCAAAGTGATTGATAAAATTAATATACGCACAATCCTCAAAGCTTAAAAAGCTGTGTTTCTCACCAGTTTTGCAATAACAACATCAGGATTACTTTGATATGAAACAGCAACCTCCTCCAATATTGGCGCCAACTTTTTGCAATGACCACACCAAGGAGCATAAAACTCCAGCAAGACTGCAAGGTGTTTGCGTTAATAGTTAATAAATTCAGTCTCAATAGTTGACACACGAGAAGTATGACAGATAATATTTCGATGCGCAATTGATGATATACATAATCACAGATACATAATAGTATCGGACCATGTCTCACAAATCACAAACTAAAACTGCAAAGAAAGAAAATAGTAACAGAATTACATTGAGCAATTTATTCTTGTAAATATAAAAAACAAAACTTTATCAAATTATAATATAAGCAATTTGAATTATGAATTCTTCAAGTGCGTGTTCAGATTAGCTTATTATGGAGAAATGATTGCATTTGCTTTTTCTTTTGCAGCAGCTTGTGAGAACTATTGAAAAAGTGCAATTATTTCCCATAATTTAAGTTTTCCCAAACACATGCTAAGACCGTAGAAACAATGCTACTTAAGTTGATATTCAATGATTACATTAATAGGAAATGTTCTAAGCCACAATCAAATCCAGCTTCATACAGTCAAGGGGACTTCAACCTTAAGAAAAAAACATTTAATCACAAGCAAATAAAAGTTAAAAGAGTATCGGTGAACAAAATGTTGATCCCACAAAAGATCCAAGTGCAACAAAAGAAGTCACAGGACGTATCATTTAACAACGTAAATCCTCTAGATTTACATCAATATCAACCACATTATATTTATTCTAGTAATATCAATCATTTTTTTTGCCAAAATTTTTATTTTTAAAAAGAATAATTAAATCAATTCATATTAATTTCTTTATTCCATAAACCAGAGTCCTTCCTTATATGTTATTAACATAATTAGAAAAAATGAATTGGATAAAATTATTTACTTCTAACCTGAAATGTCTTAAACAAATTTTTATTTTTATTTTAACAACATCAGATATTGGAAAATTTATCTTAGTAAGAGCAATGCTTTGTCGTAAATTTTAAACACAACATGGCACACAAGAACTTCTATATTTAAAAAGTATAAATATTATTTTAATTATATGCAAATTCTTCTTTTTATCTTTCCTTTTAATTTTGTAATATTACCACTTGTCCTTTGATTCTTGCCACAATCGCATTATAACTTTTAATTAGAAAGACTTCTTTATAATTTGCAAACAACCAGTGATAATAGCATTTGGTTGATGGCATTAGAAATACTTAGAAGAGAAAGTGAAATTTGTAGATCTCTAGAGGTATTCATAAAATCATCTCTATGGGTGCATAGTGCTCTTTCACGTACAAGGAATAGAATTACCTCAGATAAATTATATTAAATTCAATCACAGTAAAAGCCAAAACCTATCAGATAATTGATGGAATGATACAAAATATAAGCAAGAAATTATACCATTTTTCCCTGAGTTGAAAACTATATCCCGAAGACTGTCAGCAACTACCACTTTAACAGGTTCGTTGTTAACTTCAGGAATTGGTTCAGACTTCTTATATGGTTCAATATTTCCATCCTGAAATTATACAGAGAAATAGTCTGATAAAAAGATGCAAACTCCAAGACCAATAACAGCAAGAATACGGTTATTTTAAAACTAAAGTTATTACTAAACCTATGTATCCTAACTATTACAAATAAAGATACCAAATTACGATTACCAAAAAAAAAAAAAAAAAAGATACCAAATTACAGCAAGCACAAGATTTAAGCTACTAATTGAAAAAAGCATCACCTTGTATGCCTTCAACCAAGTTGAAATGTGATCAGGTTCCAAATTAGGTTTCAAAAATTTCTTCCCATCATTATGTTGAATGATAATTACAGGCACTTGGTCTTCCTTAAGGCCAAAATACTGCCAGGACAAGCAAATTCACAATGTCAAATATCAATATTAAGCAAAGAATAACTATAGAATCAGAAATAAAACTATTTTGATGCAAACCTGGAATGCACCTTGACTAGCCTCAATATCTCCCACTAGAAAGCTTATGCCCTCTTGTCTATATTGCTCAGCAGTTTCACGGTATTTTGATTTGATAGAATCAGCAGTCTCAGCAGTGAAGTTGACGAACAACATTGCCTAACAATTTCAAAATCAAAATTTAGAATTCTGCAACACTGGAGAACTAAAGAACTAGTCAAAATAGAAAATCTAAATAAAGATCCTATATATTTTTTAATATAATTATAGCAACTGAAATATAGCATAAAAAAGAAAGAAAAATTAATCTGATCATGAGATGTAAAGCAATACAAATATATGGATAAATGAAGGGGTGTAACAAAAAAAGAGAGAAAAAAATCAGTATACAGAATTCTAATATGTGTAGGTCTATAGGTCATCTCATAGAAGGAAGTGAAACAAAGCATCAATATTAATTATTCCATATATAGGTGAATATATTCCTAAAACAAACAAATCAAGAACCCTGAGTCAATAACAAATTAACAACTGAGAAGGTTGATTCAAGAAAAAATAAAATATTATTAAAGAGGCTCCATTGTAGAATTCAGACCTAACTACTAAGCAAGACGCAATGGGAATGACAGAACCTATGAAAAGCTAAGATTTTTTAAAAACAAATCTTAATAATTCATTAGGACAAATGGCAAAATGAACCAAGAACCAATCCTTTTTTCCTTTTTGAAGAGTCAAGGTATAACCCTAAATTACATCTGCAATTGACATTGAAAGTGTAAATATTTGCCGGCGAAAATTTATATTTTATTGAATTTATAAAATTTTGCCAGTCCAATATGACAATAAAAGTGGATGTAAAAGTAAAACAGGGGAGGGAGAAACAAAAGCAAAATAAAATAAAAAATATTTTGGAATAGAAAATGTAGTGAAAACAAGCAAATTATGGAAAATAAAAGGTAAACCCAAGGAGATGTCAGTAATAGAAAGGGGGCTTAGTAACAAATATAAAACATTGCTACAATAGTTCGATTGAGATGAATCCTCCAGCTTAATATGGAAAGAACAAAATTGAGTTAGATAGCATATTACCTTTGCATGGGGATTGTTAAAGAATTTGATAACAAAAGGATGATTGCTTGGGTCATTGTTAAAGACAGTCACAACGGGGACACTAGTTTCTTCAACAAATTTCTCTAAAGCTTCCACATGGAAATCCTACAAGCATGAGATAATTATACACAACCAAATGAGATGAATACATTAATCTGCATAAAAGAAATCTATCTGCAGAAATCAACACTAACCAGGAAGTCAACAAAAAGTTCATCAAATGGCTTGAATAATCTGACTAGGGGCCCAGTCACTGATGATTCTCCCCGTGGAAGGTGTTTGGCATCCAAGGTGTGACCAAAATCATATTCAGAACGCAATTTCTCTGCCAATGCATTAAAGTTCTCAAACTCCTCCCCAGAAAATTTTGGGAAAACCCCAACCTGAAAATATATGAAAAAATGATTATAGGCCATTGCAAATAAAAAACAACGCAAAATAACGATGGAAGATTGCTTACAATAGCAACTTTATTTTTGCCAACAAAGGCACTAGCATCATCAGCAGATTTAATTTCAATTGACGCAGGACCACTTTGCTTCTTCAAATAGTCAACAATACCATCTGCTTCACGGGGACCTTTGTAATCTTGGATGACCTTACCCCCATTTCTCAGAATCTTAATTGTTGGAAACCCCTTAACATCAAATTCATTTGCAAGTTCTCTGTTCTTTTCATCATTGGCATCAATCTTAGCCAAAAGTATCAGAGGATCATGACTACTCAAGATAGAAGCAGCTTTCTCATACTGCAGGAACAAATATTATAGAAAATCAGTATTCGCATATTCTTACCAGGTGTGAACTTAATGGAAATCCCAAAATAAAAGGCCAACAATACTACCTCTGGAGCAAGCTTGTTACAGTGGCCACACCTAGAAAGAGAGAAAAAAGAAAAGAAAAAAGAATTACATATTAAGAGTTAAGAGAAACAAAACTGGCTGGGAAAGCTAGCAAGGATCTCAAGGTTAAACGCATTACTTCCAGGCATTTACAACTTGAATAATTAGCCTAATAACTCGGATCGGAATTTCATATACTGCCTAACTGAAACTGTTTTCAGCATTCACAGCTATACGCTTCTCAGAACTCAGTAAATACAAACAAATATATGCAGACCTAGTGTCCACAATCTACATCATCGACAGAAACGTTTGAATCCCAAAGAATTTGAAGCATAAAAACTCAATAAACTAGACAATCCGAATAACTTAGGCAGCATCAAATTAAACATAATTTGTACTCGCACAAATTAGAAAGCCTACAATTTATGAACACTAAAGATACGGATTTTTACATTCCGTCATAACCGAATTAAACAATAAATGACCATTTGGACCAAGCAGCAAATTTACCATCTAAAACCATAATTTGACCATTCGAAGGCAAATGTAAAGCAAACAATGAGTATACGAAACGAAGAATCAATCTCAAATACAGAGCACAGACATCAGCATAACACTATCAAAAGTCCTTCAAAGATCTAAAATCGTTGGACTAAAGCACAACCATAAAATAACAAATTTGATAATTATTATATTTCTATATGATAAAAAAAAACTAACATTGTGAGATCTGTGACACGCTAAAATCAGGAAAATAAAAGATCAAGCAGAAAACAGAGCAACAAAAAGATATGATACCAAGGTGCGTAGAACTCGACGACAATGAAATTGTGCTTGGTGACGGTGTCGGAGAAGTTGGAGTGATCCAATGTGAGCACGAACTCATTGGCTTCTGACTCTTGTGCAGAGATTTGAGTGGGAAGCAATGCGAGTAGAGAGAGAAGGAACAAGGAGAGGAAGCAAATTGAAACCCTATCCGCCATTGCCACACTCAACACCAAAGCGCTCCCTCTCTCAGCAGTTTATGGATTTCTGAAGTGAATTTGGGATTTTAATTAATGGGTTGGATTAGGTTAGCATGAGACGAACGTGACAAACGCATGTGAATGTTTCAGATATATTCTCTACTTCGCAGCTCGTTGCACTTAGCAGTTAGCTCCGACTCAGGCTTTTAAATTTTTTATCAATCCGTTCTCGATCGGATAAGCATTTACTAATCTTACTTTTTGTTTTTAAATTAATTATTTTATTAAAAAATAATAAATAATTATAACTCAATAAATTATAACTGTTAAATTGACGAAAATTAACGATTAAAATTAAGTGGTAAGTGCAAAAAAGATTGTAAGCTTCCCATTTTTTTGGTAAGCTATAAGCTTCCCACTTTATTAAAGTTGTTTAGTACGTTTTTAATTCAATTTATTTTAAAAGCAAAAAAAAACTAGGTAAGAGCTTGTTTAGATTTTTTTAAATTACAACGTACACTAACTAAATAATGAGATATAATATTATATTTATTTTTTTCATAATTATTCTTCTTTATTATCATTAGATCGATAATCTCAATAGGAAAAGAAAATATGAATGTCAACTTGTGATTAGGAGTGAAAGTGGGTCGAGCCGGCCTACAGAGGCCTGCGGTCTAGCCTATATTAGGCTAGACTCGGCCTATGACATAAAATAAAATAGAACACGCCCGAGCTTTTAAAAAAGTATATTTAGAAAAAAGAATATAAGCTTTTTTTTATATGCCGGGCCTATAAGTCTATAGGTCGGTCTATAAGCCTACATGCTTTCCTATATAATATTATTTATTTTAAATTAAATTAAATAATATTATTCATAGTAGTATCAAATGATGATAGTTCAGTTGATGCATGTAAGCTGACTAAGAAGTGGAAGGATCTAGGTTCTATCCCACATGAATACTTCCTTTATGGGGTGTTTGGTAGGTGGTTTTTAGGGAGAATGATGGGTAAGTGAGATAGATTTTTTAAGACGCCCTCGTTTGGTACAAGAGTTTGAAAAAAAGTAGTAGGGAAGCTGTTTCCCCATGAATCGGTGGATTGTGTGTATTTTAATCTTCAAATTACTGTTTGCGAAACCGAGCTGAGAGGCGGCATTTGGAGAGAACTGGGGAAGTAGAAATTTTGGCGCGCGTTTTGTTACCCAAATGCCCCTGATATTCACCTACTAAAATCCCCTCTCCTCTGTTTGGTCTTTATTTTGCGCAGGAAGAAGAGATTTCTGAACTATGAAGTGGACTTCTCTACTGAAACAGACCCATTTCATGGAAGTGGTTGTAGACACTGTGGCTTGATTTTATCTAGTTCTTCGTGAATCTAAACCCTGGTATTAGTTCAACCCATTCATTGCATGCGGTGGCAAGTGAGGGAATGAAACTCTCACGCATCATCTATTTGTTTTTTCATTTGACAAAAATGATGTACAAAATGTTAGTTGTTGTTCTAAGTTGTCCGTGTTCCAGGTAGCAGCACATCGACGGTGAAGGACAGAGGTAACACAGCACGGTCACTGCTTTGTGCTCGAAACTGAAGTGAGGCTTTTGACGTTGGTGTATCTGAGGGATCTAAGACATCCTCTTCATAGACCACCGGTTTTCGTCCCCGTCTGTGCCATACCCTTCCGGTAAGTCCTTTCATAGTGTTTGACCATTCGAAACAATGGATTTTCTGTTAACAATTTTACGTTCCTGTAAGGAGAGGATACTAACTTTTGTGTTCTCACTCTGCCTGGCTTAAGCTCATATGACGTTAATGTTAACTTTTATTTTTTTAAACAAAGTTCAGTGCCTAATCTGTGGTGGATATTCATATAATTAATTGCCTAACCACTCAATGAATGCTTCTATGTATGTTATTATGGTATGACTGCAACTTTGGAATACAAAAATAGTAGCCAGTAGGCTTCAAACAAGTAAAAAAATTTATGATAAATATGGTTATTATTCCCAAATATAAGTGTGGACCAGAAGCTGAGGATTTAGTACATGCAAATTTTTTATTACTTTAGAAATAGTTGTGCAATGGTAAATATGATTTAATATCTTGACTTTTATATAAAAGCCCCATAAAAGAAGAGATGATCCATGCTTCAGGCGTAAAATGTTTTATACTTTAATTTATCAAGTAATTACAATTTTATGAAGCCGGAAGGGATAAATCACCATATACATGAAAAAATATGCCCCTCGTTCTTTGTTTTCTTTCCAACCAGGCAGCAACATATATAGTCACCTAATCTTCTTCATTACTCAATTCACAATTAACATTGCACGAATTCAAACCACAACGAGCAACTACGAGTACTTTGGTATCATTACTTATAGTGATTGCTTTTTCAAAATAAAAAAATAATTAATAAAAGTCATTACTAACTAATTAAGAAACTGAAATATTTTTTTTTTTATCAAATTATCAAGTTCTGATTTTTGTGTGTGTGTGTGTGAATGCTTATTTTTTCTTCTTCTATAAGTAAATAGTTGTGCAATAGTAAATATGATTTAATATCTTGATTTTTATGTAAAAGCCCCATAAAAGAAATAGATGATCCATGCTTCAGGCGTAAAATGTTTTTAGGGAATGAAACAGGTTTCAATCTGTCTTGTACAATGTTAAGGTCAATTACACTTGCATGAAATAACTCTTTAGCACGTTAAAGAAAAATTTAAACTGAATTATTTGGATTATTTGGATTGTGATATGTTGTTTTTGACTGTAAACTGAATTGTTTTATCGTTATTTGTGTTAGCTTATGGCAATGAACAATGGAATGGAGTTAAGTGTCATTGTTGTACTCATCACTCATTTGCAGTGTATGAATCAAATGACAATGTTGTTAGTCAGTCTGTGTGCTCTGTTGTCACGCGATCTTTTAAAACGGAGAAATTAAAGGACGAGGAGGGTAACATGGGATTTTTGTAGCAGGGCTAGGACAAGGGAAGTAAATTTCCATAGAATTGTTCATTTAAGTGACACTGCTTGTATAGAGAATACAAGGATGGACAGAAGGACTTTTTTTAAATTATGTGAGTTAGTCAAAAGTATTGGTGGGCTTGAACCGACGAAGCATATGGGTGTAGAAGAGATGGTAGCTATATTTCTTCACATTTTGGCTCATGATGTTAAGAATAGGATAATTAAAAGGCAATTCATGAGGTCCGGTGAAACAATTAGCAGGCAGTTCACCCATGTGTTGTTGGCTGTGTTACGGTGTCATACAGTTTTATTCAAACGACCTGAGGCAGTCCCCGAGAACTCAACGGACGAAAGGTGGAAGTGGTTCAAGGTAATTTTAACATACAAAGGAGTCAGTGTAACAATATATTGTTGTTGAAATTGATGTCAATGCAACTCTTACATGCTACAAATATTTTTTTGGATGGAATTTTATAGAATTGTTTGGGAGCCCTTGATGGGACACACATAAAGGTTAATCCTTTAGTAGCTGATAAGGCTAGATACCGCACTCGGAAGGGAGAAATAGCAACCAATGTCTTGGGGGTTTGTTCACAAGATGGTCAGTTTATTTATGTACTGCCTGGACGGGAAGGATCGGCTGCAGATTCAAGGGTCCTCAGAGATGCCATATCTCGTAATAAAGGTTTAAGGGTGCCAAAAGGTAAATAATTTTTGATTTGTTACATTTATCCTATTTCCTATGCATTTAACGTGACAATTACATGAAATGTGATGTGTAATGTCTGCCATGTTTTTTTGCTTCAGGTTACTATTACTTGTGTGATGTTGGGTACATGAATGGGGAAGGTTTCCTTACACCATATAGAGGGCAAAGATATCATCTCAGTGAGTGGAGAAATGGGGCACAACCAACAACACCGCACGAATTTTTTAACATGAAACACTCGTCGGCAAGGAATGTCATAGAACGTTGTTTTGGGATGCTGAAGGGGCGTTGGGCGATAGTGAGGTCGAAGTCATTTTATCCGGTTAAGACACAAGTGAGGATTATAACTGCATGTTGCTTGCTTCATAACCATATCAGAAGAGAAATGGCATTTGACCCTTTAGAGGATCGTGAAGTGGAAAATGCAGATGTTGAAGAGGACATGGCAGCAAATGATTTCATCACTCATGTGGAGTCATCTAATGCATGGTCACTTCGGAGGGACGAGATGGCGCAAGAGATGTTTAACACGTGGAGGAGGCGTGGTTGAAAATGACATTTATTCTGGGTCATTGTATTTTCTATTTATGTTTGTTTTCAGTATGAGTTAAACCTAAAGTAAAATGTTGGACCAGTTGACTATTTTGGTTGATATGATATTTAATGTTTACTATTGAACCCTACTATTATTTGTCATTATATATTCCTGTTCCTGTTTATTATACAGCGACAGCCATGATATGTATGATAATGTATACTAATTTGTTTGATCTAACAGTTCTTTTCTCATATTATTCATCAGCAGTTTTCTCTAATATAGCATAATTGACTTGAGACTCTCAACAACATGGCCGAAGATAGCCAACCGTCAACGAAATGGCCTAATCATACGTGGACTGCGGAAGAGGACAAAGTCCTTGTTGAGTGTCTCATTGACATTGGGTCAAGTTGGAAAGGGGAAAATGGCTTTAAACCTGGATTTTCGGGTGCTGTAGAGAAGCTCATGCACCAAAGGATACCTGGATGCACACTCAGAGGTATTCCTCACATCACATCCCGGGTTAAGTTGTTAAAAAAACACTACAACGCCATTGCTGAGATGATCGGTGGATCCGGTGGGAGCGGGTTTGGGTGGAACGATGCAAAGAAGATGATAGATGTGGAAAGGGAAGTATTCAATGATTGGGTGAAGGTGATGAGCCATTTTTTTTATTATTATATCATTTATCTAAATGTGCTACAACAATTTCTGGTTATTTGACATTAACCACATGATAAATTTGTTACTGCAGAGCCACCCGAATGCAAAGGGGCTTTTCAATAAGCCATTCCCCCACTATGACAGTTTGGGAGTAGTCTTCGGAAAAGATGTTGCATCCGGAGTTAATGCAGAGGAAGCAACAGAATCTATTGGTTGTTTG